AATCTGAACAAGCTGACAGTTGCAAAAACCCCCCCCCCCCCCCCCCCCCGCACACGGTGAGCAATTGGCGCGCGCCACTTGCGCTGCGCCGGTTTCTCATCGTTTGCGGGGGTATTTTGGTGAGATTTTTGCCTCTCACGCAGCTGAGCAAAATATTTTGGCCTTTTGAGGCAAATGGCTCAGCGTGTGCGGGGTGCAAGCGCCGATTGCTCAAGTCATGCCAACAATGCGCATGTGCTGGTAGCCGGAAACAGAAAAATGGCAGCCCCCTGCGATGTCAACAAAAATGTACACAGTTATATACTTAGTCTAATTGATTAACGTGGTCACCATTTTCCATTACTTTAAAAAGTAATCAATATGTAATGTTTCTTTAATCACATGATCCCACAGTTCACGGTGCGTCCGATAGGGGCAGGCCGGGAGGCACCTCTGTTGAGCAAAGAGCGCAGCGTTTGCGGGGAGCTGAGGAGTGCGAGCATCTGGGACATGACACCGAGCCATATGGCACACTGATGGTTCAGGTACTCCAAATTGGAGTGTATATCTCTGTACTCATTTGGTGCTTCGGTCGTGCAGGGTGCCATTATAAACAGGGCGTATCACGAATCGCACCCTACTTTAATCCAAACAATGGGAGCGTCAGGGGTGCTCCGCGAAAGGTACTCGGGACCGGTGTATCAGATTGGAACGACACAACATCTCAGTGTACCCTGGCAATGTTTGGCGGAGATGAGGCGGCCTACTGGGCCTGCAGGACAGAATACGCCTTTCAACAGAACTGGTGGCCATCTCCCATCGCAGGCTTGTTCAGCTACCAGGCAAGTACTAGTACATGTAGTCCTAATACGATCGAGCTACATAGGCTATATATACAGTAGCCTGAAACCATGCCGGGATAATTATACAGACTTTTTTTTGCACGCTCGGGTGTCAGTTTGATTCAAGTAGCATATAAATTATTCAATATGCAAAACAAAGCTGTAATAATAAAAATAATAATAGGTCGTTAAATGAATAGATAGGATATAATGAAATGAAACTAAAATAAGTGCATAGATAGATTGAAAAAATAATTAATAGGCTACTCCAAGCAAAATCGGTAATTTTTAACAAATTTATTAGATCTACATAAGATATTCTTTTTTTCAACATTTTTGAAGTTGAATTTTTTAAATTTATCCCTCGGCCCATTGTTTTTGATAACCAATTGCAAAAAACGCTTATTTATGTCAAAATCAAATCGTAATCTATTTCCTTTAAACTGTTTAAAGAAAATAATCAGTTTGATCATTTCTGTTATATTGTTTAGACGTGGAATGGTTTTGACGGCTTCTGGCGAAATGGCGCCGTGCTTGAAGTTCTCACTAACTTCATGGCATTCGCCAACAACTCTCGCTATATCTCTGTAGTCCACAGTTCGTACAGAAACTTGTCTCAACTTCTGAGGGCTTACGGACCCCAACCATCGTATGACGATATGGCGTGGTATGGACTGAGTTTTGCAAGAATTGCTGAGGTAAGGGCATGCTGGAATAATATTTTCACAATTGCAATTCATAGCGGATGACACACACGCACGCACATGCACGTATCGCCACCACCCACAGCAACTTGTTTGATTGGTCTTTAAGCTGATAAGCCAGGAACATGTATGTTCTTTATTGTGTATTATAAATTATAAGATCATATGATGTACTTCAGTTGGTACATTTTATGTCTGTTGAATCCCATATGCACCTTTTGGAAAATCATTACCACAACCTAAGTGTTCAAACATTTATTTCATGATAAAAAGTTCCAGTGTACTTTTACATTATAGTCCGATTCTTTATAAAATATGAAAGCTTTCGTCCTAAGCGAACTGTAGTCTCTCTCTCTCTCTCTCTCTCTCTCTCTGATTTTATTTATTTTTTAGTTTATTAAACATTTGTTGTGCTCTGCTCTAAGGGATTAATCTAGAACTTGTCATTTTTTTCATTTGTGTAGGGCTGAGGTCTTTAAATCAGATAGAAATTTAGAGATTTAGTCAGATTTAGTCTGCAATGGCGCCAACATCTGCGCTATAGTTTACTTCATAGATTACTTAAATATTTCAGCTCCTTGGGGACTCCACTTTCCTGTCGTCCGCTCAGCAGATCTACGACTGGAACTGGAAAAACGGCTGGGATACAAATACTAGCAACTGTCATGGAGGCATGTGGTTCGACCAGGATGTCAACGCCAAGCAGACGATTACCAATGTCCAGGTAAGAGTTTTACCTTGGAGACGTCTGTTATTAAAAGAAGGTATTGTAGACAAAACCCTCCTTTGTAAGAAGTAATTTTCAGAAAAGTCGGACATGACATTTACTGTTACGAAATCAAGGATGCTTGCAAGCGTTCTTATTACAACTTTTGCAATATTTTTAGATGCTACAACTGGGAGCGAGGCTATATCACCTGACGTCCTCTAGAAGCAGACGACAAGAGCTGATGTCACGTGTTAACCTCACAATGGACTTTTTAGCAAAGAACTTCGTGATCAATCCTTTAACCTTCCAGATTGCAGACGGCATAAATATTAATAACTGCACGCCAAACCACGTTTATGGTATTACGTGCAACAGTGGCGTTTTTCTCGGTGGCCTTGCAGAACTTTACAAAGCAACAAACCAGACTTCTTTGTTGAACGTAGCCCAAATGGTTGCCAATGCAACAATGACCTTGTCATCCAAACACGGCGTTTTGATGGAATATTGCGACTTGGGGAACCAAACATGTGACAACGACGCAAAAATGTTCAAAGGAATATTCGTACGCAATCTACGCTATCTCGCAGACGTTTCTGATCAGGCTCACGCTAAACTTTACAGGGGTTACTTGGCAACGAACATGCGTTCTCTGCTATCAAAATCGATATGTGAGCCAACGGTGAAGAAACCGTGTAACATATCGTATCGAGACGGCCGACCCTTCCATAATTCCACCGGGCCTGTGTTTGGTACACGTTGGTTTGGCCCCTTCAGTTTCTCTTCCCCTATGCAGGACACGTCAGCTTTGGAGTTGTTAGTCGCCAATATCGCCCAAGGCACACGATGTCATGGCGACGGGTGCGCCTACGACCCTCCCACACCTCCTCCCCGTCCGTTTACTTGTCAAGATCACCCCTGTCCCGCGGACGAGGCGTGCTGCGCGTACAGCGACTACTACACTTGCTGTACACCAGATCAGAAGTGTGTTAACGGGATCTGTGAATAATGTCACTACCAACAAGTTATAGGTTGTTTTATTAGTTGCACAACTAATTAAGGGATGAATAAATATTCATCGTGTGAAAAAAAAGACATGCGAAGAGAGATGGGCACTGCTGTCGCTGTTCACTATTCTTCTCCGGAGTTTTTTATTTCTCAGAACATTTCAAGGGCCTATAGCTCACCCCAATAAATTCCTATAAGTTAGGGTTCGCGTGACTAAGGGTGCCAAGATCACAAATGAACAGGATTCTATCATGGGAACTCCCTGGTTTATGATCGACAAAGCGTGAAAAGTTTTTGAAAAGGTGTATTTCATTTTTCCTTTAGAAATAGAACAGCTTCATAGTTGCTGTAATAATGTCCTCAACTGTATAAAATTATACATATATATATTTTCACTGAGCAAACAGAATATGAACTCAAAAGCTATGTGGCTAAATGAATATACTTTGTAAGATGTATAATTTCTTTGTAAATAAACTTACAAAAAGACACAAATACACTGCTATTTTTTCAGATAAAACTTCGATTCTTCACAAAATTCAGTTCATCTTCAGTTCTGCTAATATTGCAATTGTCAATAATTCTTTACTGTTTTCTCGTTAAAGTCCTTACCCTTGTAAGAAAAAAAGTCCATTTCTTTTTAACATTTCAATGAAATATCTCTCACAAATTGCGTTTTGGGAAATATAAATAAATTGAAGATACATTTATGTTAATCTACCTCCTACATTTGACTTCTCACAACAAAATTAATATTCAAATGTAAACAAAACACGTTAATACCACCCCCTAAAAAAATTATATATTAATATCCTTAACTTCATCAGCATCTATTTAAATAAGGTCTGTTTTCTGTGATGAAAAATAATATTATAGTCTCTTATAAACTAAACGTGGTAGAACTGTTTTCTTTGATGCATTAATAATCGAATTAATATATAGGCCTTATACTACGGAGATATCACAATTCAATTACAAACTAAAACATAAGTTCCAGAACTTTTCATATTAAAAAAGAAAAATGTTTGTCCTTATTTACCATTATACCAAATAATCTACTTCAACAAACAACAGTCATTTACTAGTAAACACATTGTTCACAATTACACTGTTCACATGCTAAATTCTTCCTGGAACATCTTACCAAGTAATTACTTTGCTAAATGTCAAGCCAGAAACATATAGCCTACACTTCATTCAGTCTTTTTTTCATGTTGTTGTCAATACAGATTGAACACTTTGTTTCATATTGACATGCACAGTTCACAATTGTTGACAGCCTTCAAATCGGTAATATATATATATATATATACTAATGCAACGACAAAATAGCCTAATAAAAATAATTTGACAAAGGAACAAACTGTGTTAAAAAAAAAAAAAAAAAACAGTTTCACATGAGAAGCATCTGGTATAAGGTCACTATTAAATATCTGAGTTGATGCACAACTTCAATATATGACCAGATTAAAAAAAAAAAAAAAAAAAAAAAAAAACAGCACCGCTCTGACAAATCAAAACATATTACCGTTTTCAGGTGATTTACAAAACCTCAGTTTATTGGCTTACAAAACAACAAACTATATTAACATGCTTGAGTTGGTCCAGTAACATACATCTACATGCCATCATTCTTGAAAAAAAAATTCTATGAACATCATGATCTGTGCCAAAGTAAACATTAAATTTTTACTGTAAAAACCTATTACCATGGTGCCATTGAATTCAGCCATATGCAACAAGACTGTAAGAAGATGCTTTGAAAAGAAGCATCAATTGCTAATATTCCATTACATCACACTCAAGAACAAAGGACATACTTATATGGTAGAAAACATCCAAAAATTTTGTTTTCATTTTAGGCAAGGCAAGAAAATGCTGATCCCTCATCTGATGGCCTTGGGTGGTAGGAGTCTTCTCGAACAGGAATGAAGTGCTGAACAGAAAAAAATAAATCTCTTAGCTTTAAGTCATATTTAAACTTTAAAAGCAAATTCTATTTTATACTTCAGGCTAACAAAAACACATTTGGCATTTTGCAATTTATCAAAATCATAAGTAACAGTACCATAACAAAATCTAAACAAACCACCCATCATTCTGGACTATAAAACAATCAAAAGGTGAAAATCTCCATCAAAAGTTAAAATTACAGCTCAATTTTGGAACCAAGTTAATAAAATACCGACTCCTCTGACACACATACCATATCATCTCCTTCTGCCAAAACCAACGCCACAGGGTTATGGCAAGATCGAGGTTGCTGTGGCTGGGGAGAAAACTTGGTCTGGAGACGACATGCATAGAGGGCGCACTCTTCATCCAGTAGTGCCTCCTGAAAACGCTGTGTGGCGCCAGTCACCAGGACAGCAGCAAGTCTAGACCTCCCAGTGCTGACACCTACAGTCTGTGGTACAGGCAAGGAGGGAGATGTCTTCTGGCAATCTTGTCCATGTTCTGTTGAGCTGTGAAAACTTCTTTTGCTTGTGGTGAGTGATGTCTCTGTAGAATCCAAGTCTTCAGAGACAACAACTTGCACATCAGAATCCCTGGCTTGTGGACTGTCCCCTCTGCCTTGCAAGGGCACCATGGATTGGCCAGAGGAAAATTGTATTGACGTCTCATCAGAAATGCCATTACCATTAAGCCGAATTCCATTTTCCTGTGTATTAGTATCACCCATGTTCCAAACCTTCAGCGCACTGTTCCTACTAAACGCTGTAGCATGCTGTTCGCTCACCATTACACCACCACCATCGCGTCTCAGCAACACAGGTGACTGGTCCAAATCTGGGTATAACACAGGCGACTCTCCAGGTGACGCCGACACCACCTCTGGTGTGACAACCTTTGCCCCTGAACTGGCCCCCATCCCCCCTCTCATGGCCAGGGGGGTCATGATGGGAGGTCGAAGGTCAATTCCCGAGGAAGTCGAGGTCAAGGTGACTGGTCTGGGAACTGACATGGACAACCGGTTGAACCTGGACATGATGTTGGTCTCTCCAGCTACCTCTGGTCTTGGTGTCTGAATGGTTCCTGGCATGGAAGACAGAAATGGCTGATGTCTTGGCAGTTCTCTTGGCTGGAAAATAATTTGTCCTTTCTGCTGATCGGAAGAAACAGATTGTTGTGTTTTTGAATCCAGTGTTTGTGTAAAGACAGGCTCCACCATAGTGTCAGTCTCAGGCCGCCTGCTGGGCAATGTCCCTGAATGTAAAACCTGGTGTGGAACATCTGATAAAGCCGAAGGAGACTTTGTCATTGAAATATGAGTTTGATCTCCAAATTGCTGTGTCATCTGTTTGAAAGGTGTAGCAACATTCTGCAGACTTTCCACCATGGTTCTATCTGTCTGTGAGGGTACTGTTGACTGTGTAGTGCAAGGTACTGTGGAGCAACTTTTGCATGAGACAGTCAATTCTGATGCCCCATCTGGAACTACATTATTCATCAAATCTAGTCCAGTAAAAGCACTGTTTGCTGTCTGTATGAGCGGTCTTTGCCCAACAGTCAATTCACCAGGATTCAACTCCACATGGGCAGTCTTTGCTGCATCCCCACCAGTGGCTAACACCTGAGAAGCAATTTGCTTTTCATTATGTTGAATGAAGCACTGATTTTCATCTACTGATGGCTGGAATGGATACTGTTGGGTATGAGTCCGACCCACCTTTTGCTGCTCTTGGCTATACATAAAGTTATGATGTACTGACTGAAGATTTGTGGATGATGGCTGCTGATGTTGATGCACTGTTGACTGTTGTTGCTGATGTTGACTTTGTTGCAGAAGAGACTGATGTTGCATCTGCTGCTGTGAACCATGTTGGGGAAATTGTCTTTGTTGATATTGTAAAGTTATAACCCCTTGTTGTGGCTGCCCTGAAATTTGCTGATTAAGTCTTGGTAATTGTTCAAAATATTGTTGCTGTTGCTGTGTTGTGGGGTGTTGACCTGGTATTGGCAATTGTTGACTGGCTGTTGACAACTGTAGCTGTTGTGACTGCTGATGCTGTTGCACTGCTAGCATGTGCTGTAACTGCTGTTGGAACTTGAGCAACTCTTCCTGTTGTTTCTTCACCATCTCTAACTGCTTCCATATGTACTTGGCACTCTTGCTCCCACCTCCAGTTCCACTCTGCCTAGCTGACTGCTGCAACATCCGGGCACAGGTCTCCAATTCCTCAAACTGCTCTTCAGAGTCTCTGATGCTCTGATTTAGGTCATCCAGAGCCAAGTGACCACCATGTGACCCATACATGCCACTTCCCTGGGTATTTGACACCGTTTCTTCACAGGGGATGCCCATGGCCATTTTGGAATCACAGGGTTGCTTGGCTGGTTGATCTGAGTACAAAAACTGAGGTTGGTATACTGATGCCTGTCCTGGCTGTTGTGTACTTCCAACGGCTCCTGGCTGACAGGAGTGATTATTAGACACAGCACCCTGCTGCTGCCACCTTTCTGCTAAACTGGAAAGCTGTGGTCTCACAAAAACATCACTCTGCTGAATATCAGCACTTAATGTTACAGCGTATTTGTGCCCTGTATCAAGTAGTGCCATATTTTGTTGTTGGTGTTGCTGCTTAAAAAGGGTTTTTGTTTCCGTCTGTACAGGTTTGAATTTCCCCATTTCACTACTTTCAAATACAGGACATTCCTTCGAAATAACGTTTCTTATCACCGAAGGACTATTTTGAAGTTCAACTGATTCTGACACTGAAGGGCTCTTAGCCTTTGCCACTGATTCTGTCACCAGAGGTCTCTCCTGTAGTACTGATGAGTTATTTGCTACTAGAGGGTTCTTGGGGATTTTCACTGGCTCAGTGTCAGTGGTCTCCATGGCTGCTATCTCCAGCTCCAGGAGGCGTTCCATCTCTCTGATCTCCTGCAAAATTGAAGTTTTCTTATTTTTTGTTAGTTCTGTCAAAATCATTATAAGAACGGCCAAGAAAGTAAGCCCAAGTTTTTATTAAGCTCCAGTAAAAATCAAACAGATCTGGACTTATAATTCATCAAGGACCTATACTTGCTTCAAAAATTTACTTTACCTCTAATCTCTGTCTATGGCCTTCCGTATCTTCTACACCCAAGGGGGAGCCACCTTCAGAAGTACATGTTGGGGATTCCTCTAGGACTCCAAGGGGGACACAATGGGGTGTCTGGTAGTTGGTATCATCATCTCTAAACAAGGTCATGGCAAGGCAATCCTTCTGAAATAAACAATATCAAATTAATATTTTTCACTGAAACAGTTTTGATGGTCTTTTTCTTTTTTTATTAAAGGAACCAAATGAATTTTCTTCATTTAAAAACTTGATGTGTGGCATGAAATAATAAATCATTACATTCAAAATAATGGGGAAATTGACTTGTCACCAACTTGTTGACTTAAGAGTCAGGACAATTCAAAGCAAATTAAAAAACTTACTTTTATTCATCCTTATTTAGTTTCTACTGAATATGATTGAAAGTAATCCAGTTTTCTGGTTAAAAACTTTTGCCATTTCATAGGTTTCACTACCTTCTGACAACTTTCCTCTTGGTTTTGTTGATTTTCAGCACTAGCAGGACTGAGAAGATCAGCCCAGGTGACATCTGACCTTGACCCACCCTTGACCTTGCTCTTGGGTGTCGTCCCCCTTGGAACTCTGCATGCTGATGGAGACTGGGGCACAGGAACTCGTTTTGGTGGGCCCAGTGCAGCGCTCGGTGTGGGAGCGGTTCCAGTGGGACCAAGGTCAAGGTCACCACAGGGGCCTTTCCTGGTGCTCACTGTCCTGACATATATACTATCTGGCCTTCGCACAACTCTGATTCCTGTTCCTAGTGGAGACTGTCCATTGCTCTCTTTCACTGGTGTCTCTCTGTTGACACAAGGTGTTGCTGCTGGGGTGCTGGCAGACACCTTAGACAGGGTACGCTTTTGAAACTCGCTGTGGGCTCTGAACATCCTTGCTTTGCTCTCAAATGGACTTTTCTGGTAGTAAATGGAAGGGCGAGCCTGAAGTTGAAAGAGGGGAGAAAAACATTTAAACAAGGGTACTTGTTGTACCAAAACTGAAAAACTGTTTAAATTCAATCAAAAGATGTCAATAAATTCTGGGGATTTCTGTGTACAAAAATGTAATTATTGTGGGTTTCCATACTGTTGCAGACTTAACTGACTGTTCTTTTTTCTTAGAAAAGAGAGGAAACACAACCTGATTCCCCAAACTTCGCCTCAAGTAACATCTCCTCTCACTATGCCATACTCTCTGCAGTTCACTCAATACCGTGCTTGTTTTTATAGCATATATATATTATATACATTTCAATGATGATACTCACCGACATAAGATTCAGCGTCCTAGGAGCTGCACTGACAGGGGTCTTGAAGGAGGCCGGTCCTGCCAGGGTCTGTCTCTGGATTGATGAACACACCCCTGGCTGACCCCTGAAGACATCCTCCCGGCTCAAGCCCTGGTTGGTCACTATACTCTGGAGAGCTGCACTGTCCACTTCAAAGTCGATACCTGAAGATGAAAATGTTCATTGCAGACAAGGCAATATTTCTTTGTTGATGATATTATAGAAGTCATACCTAAGGGGGGGAAAAAAAGCAGAGTATCCGAGAGTTGATACCGCCTCCACATATTGTGCCACCAGCAAGATTAATGGTAGCTATCGATTACATTTTTTTTTTTTTTTTGGGGGGGGGTTAGAGAAACGGGCTGGTAAATGTGCAAAGTGCACTTTATGTGGAAAAGTGGGGCAAAGGCAAAATTTAAGGTGTTCACACTTGTGGTTCTAATGAAACTCACCTTCTTCTTGTTGAAGATCAGCCAAGGAGGACCCTTTCCTCTTCCTGGTCTTGTCTTGGTCACCCAGCTGCCTGCCATCTGGTGGCAATTCCTTGAATATCTGCCTCTTACTACTGCTTGGTTTTGTACTAGTAAAAGGTAAAGTTGACAAAATATAAATTCTGGTAAACTGACTTAATATTGCATTAGTTCAGGTGCATTCAGGCTCTCAACTGTGTCACAACTAACACAATTTGTAAAACCAGTTTGATGACACAACGACTTGAGCAAAATATTTTTTCCGCCACATTTAGTGAAGCATGGTATACAGAAGCACCAACTAATAAACATCAGGGAATTATTTTACACTACATTAATCACTTCATCAATCATACACTGATTTAGCTAAAATCATTCAGCTGTTTGGTAGAAAGAAATTTAATCCTGGTGCAGGGAAAACACTGTACCCTCGTTCCACACCACCTGTTGCTTTGTCTAGACAGCAGTGACACGCCTTAATTCAACCAAATATACTGACTGTCAATGAAAACGCATCAGAAAACATTCTAGTACTTTTTTACTGAGAATTGATTCCAACCATATAGACGAGTACAAATGGACTTGTTTGGTAATAAGAGAGTCACCTTGTTTGAATATTAATGGGTCATATTTCACACAAAAACTTATTTTCTTCATGTTCCAAAGGAACTTAAAATATTATTTGATAAATCAATGATGCATTTTCATTGACTGTCAGTATACTTGCCACTGTCATTTTTGCATCTGTTGCCTTTTTCAAAATGATCAAATGGGAAAAACAAGACTGCCTTATTTTCCATAATTAAAGTAATTTACTACTGACGACAATTATTTCCCCTAATAACTACACTTGTTTTCCAGAGCTTGAAACAAATACAAATCATAAGAAGCTAAATACAAATGATAAGAATCCCCTTGTGCTGAAACCTAGGAAACTGGGGCAGCGCTAACACTTGCCAATTTCGCCAAATGCTAAAACTGACTTAAATTGGCTAAAGAAAAAGGGCTTGATTTGACATGTTGTAGCCAAATTATAACCATTTTTATAACAAATTGACAAAAATGTGGTGATATGGCTAAGCGAAAAAATTTGCTAGCGCTACCCCAGGGAAACATCATAAACAGACTCCTACCTGTGGGTTGCTGCAATGGTGGCTCTCCCTGTCACCTGGCCAACACCCTTACTGGTAACGATGCTATTTAAAGCAGCTTGGTCCACAGCAAAGTCAAGGTCACTCCCGTAGTCAATGTCTGGATTAAGGTCATCAGCAAGGTTGAGGTCAACGTTAAGGTCAAGATCACCATTAAGCTCCGTTTTGGACTTTGCTCTCTTCATTTTGGTTCCTGATTTCGTTATATCGAATTCATGTGCCTGTAAGAAAGGAGAAATCAATGATTATTCTAACAGTGACTTTACTAGTAGTCACCAAAACCCAGTTGATACTCATTAATCAAAACACTAACCACATCTTTTATGTTGCTACATCATTACTCCTCCTCTTCATCTTGAACCGATTTGTCACTTTTGTGTTTTGGCATATACATGGTTTATAATTAAGAATTAAGTTACACTGCATTTTTTCCAATAGTAAATAAACATGCACGATGAAAAGGATATGACCAACATGACTAAATGGAAAAGATAACAAAAGACGAAGTAGGAGTGGTAGAAACAAATAAGTTGGGTCTTTATACCACAGTGCAAGGTTTCTTGGTGAGAGCTTTCCCTCTCTCCAGTTTTCCCTGCCACTGTTGGTGTAATTTGCCGAAGTCAGGTACTGGTCGGGCCTTGGTCAGCTTCACACTCTTCTTCTTCTTTACACTACTGGCCACTGGGATTTTACTGCAAGAATGATGAATGATTTAGAAATGAAGCTAAAGAGCAGGTGTAGAAAAACTAAGTGTATAAAATCACAGTTACAGTCCACCAAGTTCCAACAACATATTTAACTGTGAATGACATTGTTGCCAGACCTTATAATTTCCACAATTTGATTGTAAACAAATTATTTAAGCCACCCCCCATACTGAAAAATAACAGTACATAGACCTTTTTTGAGTTTCCAAATATGGCAGATGGCATGATAATGCATCCATAAATTGTATGGATGTGCAAAGTTCAGCTTAAACATCCCATTTTTTTAGCAAAAGACCATTTCCTGTTCACGCATATCCTGGGCTTTTTTTTTTTTCAGAGAAGTGCCCTGTGTTACATGTATGCACCCTTCATTTATCTAATTTAATGAGGTTTGAAAACAATTATTAACATTTGTTTGATAAATAATGAAAGCTTATGTATTAAACATGGTGCCCTTTGCCTGAGTTAATGTGATCGTTTGTTTTGGAGTTGATTCTGGTGCAACTCTGCAGTTTCTTTACCTTGACTGTGGCATGTTTTCCTTGTTTTCTGACCTAAAAAAAGAAGGTAAAATCTTTAAAGACTGGTCTGTTTGGCCAAACTGCAGGTTAACGCTTATAACATTACATATAAAAACACCAGGAAAGTATCTTCAAGTTAGTATCTTCACTATCCGTCATTTCATTTGAGTACTTGCACACAGTCTTTGTCAGCTCTTCGTACATGTTTTTCCATACTCGCTTACAACAAAAATTTCAAAAATAAAGAAGTAATAAAATATGAAGGTTCGTTTAACAACAAGAGTCCAAATTCGTCAATACTAATACGTTTACAGTGGTGTTACCGTTTTTGGTGAACCCGAAGTCCAGTTTTCGTAGTTGACATGTTGAAACTTGTTTTGGGTTATCTAAAGATAAAATGATGTCCAAATCCTGTCGCACTGGAAATTTCTCCGTAACCGCGAGTTAGACTGCTAATTAAAGTTATAAATGTTCCCCTCCCTGTGCATATTAACCATTCGGGTACCAGTAACAGAAGTATTGGTGCACTTCGAAAGAAAAAAGCACAAGTTAAAATTCCCAGACGTTATAAACACACGCCTCTAATTGACCAATCAAATAGCGACCTTATGAACCGGAAGCCACGCGACCTATCGCAAAACCTCGTTAGAAATCAACAAACAGCTGAAATGGCAGGTGCGACGCTTGCAGGACCAGTGCTCCTGATTATCTCTATTTTTATCACTTATTTATCCAGCGCAAAAGCAAACGAAGGTGAGCAACAGCACAGTTTTATATCTCTCTAGAAAATCAGAGGAGTTAAAAGTCGTTGGAAAAAGCAAGCAGTCCTTTACTTGTCCAGGTGTGACAAGATATCTGTATGCCTTTCTGCGTCGTGCGACAATCAATTTTGGGTGGTACCTCAAGTTCCTTTTATTATGTTAGTTCGTTGTGTAACTTTTGTGGAAAACGCGATGGCATTTATACTTTCGAAAACTTTGTCATTAATATTAAATGGTCTTTGGGGATTGGGGATCACTTTTTAATTTCGTCTACCCAATTCAATTAATAGGTATTGATGTAGCCTAGCTGTATTGATTTACACTTCGTGTTTTTTTAATGTTTTTGCATAGGTAGACTTTTTGAAAGCTAACAAAAGGAAGGGGCTTTGTATAGGCGTGACTTAAGTCAGATTTTAGGTTTATAGGGCATTATGTACGTACATTTGTACTGAGTACCTTATATCATTTCCTTCTCATCATTCAGTTTCTCGTATGCTGTTGAGCAGAAGTGACAGCACATTTCACATAGGTGATTAGTCCACAGGAAGGATGAATAAGCTAGACATGTGTCACATTACAATATGTATATATACTCAGTATATATAGCGCCTGTGCAACACACACAAACACACACACCATGCAGATCAACTTAATATACTTACCTTACACATCCACTATACAGACGGAAATCTGCACAAAAAAAAAATAGAAGAATGTTACATTATAAATTGTGTCAGTTAGGTCTTTCTTGTCAATCCATCATCCATGTACAAATTTAAACCCATTTTTTATGTAGCTCAGTGCATTTCCTGAACATGCACATTTACAGTATCTATAATCTTTAATTAAGACTGAAATATAGTCACAGCACAGGGGAAACTGAACTCTCTGCAGCTGTCAAAAAATTTTTTTGGTGGATCATGGGCATATTCTTATATAAGTAAGTCATAGCAGAATGTAACTTTACCTGATTTAGCATTTTTTCCGTCTTTTTTTCTGGTTAAATTAATTTATTGCAAAGTTTTGACTTTTCTTTTTAATCTCAATTTTCCAGTCCTAGCAGGCTCAATGTAAAACATTTTTTACCTGTTTTAACGACTTTATCGTGATTTATCACAAAGTTTTGATATATCATAATAGTGACAATTTTTCCAGTTGTTTGACAAAAATTATTGTCATCCCTGACTGAGCCCATTAAGCAATCAGTGATTATGGTCATTATACAAGTACTGACAGTGCTAGGAAGTGTGACCTTTCTGGTATGCGGATGAATAGCTCTGACTAACAAGAAATTACTTGTCACCCAGTACAATGTGACAATCACTGTAATAATGTTCAGTCATACACTAGTATAGTACTCAAGGGAAGTACAGGTTAGAGATCTGTGCTTTGAGGGCACACCCAGGGTGAAGGGTAATCAAGATATAGTTGTATAATGTGAAAATTAGCGCCATGATTTTCATGTATTGCAGGATGGCATGCACAGTACAAATTTGTACAGTGAAGGCAAACATATCATATATGGTCGATATGGACTGTTTGGTCCAGATATATATAAATTTCAATTTATAAAGATGAAAATCTTAAAAATTTTTAGATATATGTATAAATTATTCCAAAAAACTCCTGGGTGTATACAGAAGGACAAGAATGATCAAACCAAACCTTAGGTTTCTTTCTCTTTCCACATGGAATTATCTGTTTACTTTTGCTTAAAAACATTTTTATTGGATATTTTATGAGCACTGTAGTGTGTGTCCCAGTTGGGGACAGCTTGGGTTAGTGTTTGTTTAAGGATAATGCAATTTCCTTTATGTCATGTCAGACATGTCACGGCATGGTTTCACTAAAAAGTGGTGAAAAAATTTACTTTTTTAGTCTTCTTTTGGTCAGTTTTTAGTATCCATTGTAAATCACCAACCTTTTCAAAATTAACTAGAACGTGCATCAATAGGCAATGAGATTGAAAAAAAAAAGCTTTTAAATTCAATGTCTTGGGAAGAAGAATCTATATAATTATAATAAATGATTTGAGATATATCTGTTTTATTTATTTTTGCCAAATAACTGATAATTTTTGTAAACACATTACTAAAAGTTCTTTGGAAGACATGGAATCAAAAGGGAAATACCAACTTGAGAAAATGACTACTAGTAGGCAATATTTAACTAAGATAACGGATAATAAATCTTCATGTGCAGCGAGTTGGTCTAATTTCCATTCTCAATCTTTCTCACTATATACATGCCACCTTGCTAACTTTACAGCTAAGGAAGCACTAGTATAGGTTTGAGATTAGCATCAAAGAGTGCTAAGATATCTTGAAGAGGCAACATATTTTTGTTGCTAGTCTACTCATAAGATGATAGATATACACACTTGGATAACCTGCTTTGTGAAGGTTGGAAGTAGTGCTTAGTCAAATTCTGTGGGGATATACATACTAGAACTGTAACAGAGAAAGGCAGAGAGAGAGAGAGAGAAGAAGAAGGAAAAAGAAGATAAAAACTTGCCTGTCATGCATTAAGCTTCTCTGACTAAGTTTATGATAGGGCTTTAGGCTACAAGGCTGTCTTCAGTTCAGTGTACGCCCCTTGAGTAGGCACTCTGTATAGGTAATAGCGCATAATTTTCTTTCTTACAATTGAAAATGTTGCCGCAGGTGCTATTGACAAGGTTATGAACATTGTCATAAGAATTTTTTCTTCTTTTGTAAAGAACAAATGTTTCATGTAAGATATAACAGTTACATTATTTTCTCGTGTAATTGCTTAATTCAAACATATTTAGAATATGAATGCAATATATATATATATATATATATATATATATATATATATATATATATATATATATATATATATATATATATATAACATTAACATAAAGCCAATGCATTGAGTAAAATTAAAGAACTTGTTTAACTTGTTGGATTCAAGTTTCACCAGCATGCACCTACTAGTAATTCAAAATAAGAATTTTTGAAACCAGAAGCTAGTGCACTTTTTTAGATAAAATTTATCATTGAGATCAAGCTTGCTATAATGCTAATTCACAAAACTTATTTGTGTAATACAGGATGGTTTCATATAGGAAACACACTGCTTTTATGTTGAGGTAATTTTATAATTAGATGTGGTAGAAACCTATAGTGTACATAATGAGTTGAGGAGCAGCAGATAGCTAGCTTAATTTCCACTATTCATCTGTACTTATCAAGATATTCACCTAACCAGTGAATTGTTCAGATTGATTGGTCTGCAGCAGAGTCTTTGTCATTCCTAATTCACTCTTGAGGAGGCTCTGCATACAGTGAGGTACAAGGGGAGGTCTACAATAGGGAATATTGATTTGAAATATGACTGCAGAGAAGAACCCATTAGGTTGCCTTTGAATGTGCGAGGCTGAAGTGGGCTTACTCTAAGACCCCATTTCCAGAGATTAGATCGATCTACTTTAGATCGACCTAACTCCCTGGGGGTTCACGCTAAATAGCTGTCAGCTGAACGGGAACGAAAGTTAATTACCCCCTTACAGCTTGTAGTAGGCAGGACGGACGGTCAGATAAGGATTATCTGACAGTACTAGTAATCTAGTGAGACTCCCCGCGGGGATAGTTCAATCTAAAAGCTCTGGGAATACAGCCCTACACACTGTCAGTTTGTTTTAGCAAAAAAAAAAAAAAAAAAAAAGCTTGATATCTTGGCAAAATAAGTAGATATATAGATGGATGGATGGATAGATTGATAGAATCTGATAGATAGATTTGTTAATGTGTTAAAATATTTAAATAAATAAAAATAAATAGATAAAAAATAAAAATATATATATATCAATGGGTAATAAATTTGACACAAAACAATGGATATATATTTTTTTTTTGCAACAATTTATTATGTTAACCAAACAGAGCAGTCACTGGGTGAAAATCATGACTGTGGTTTGTAAGGATTGCAGAACAATGATAAGTTCCCTTGATTTCTTAACTTACACATGAACCTACTACTAGCTGCCTCACCTGTTACACTCCACATCTTTATATACTGTAAAAAAATTATTCTTTTTTTTTTATCACCATATTTTTGATATTTTTATTTGGAAATGCTTTCATGTACAACAGGATTAACTTGTTAAGTTCATCGATTGCATGACCCCAGGTTGAGACTCTTGCATATTGTACAAACTGCAGTCAACCATGTATAGGTGTCTGAAAGTACTGAAGTTCCATTCTGTATAGAATATGATATTGTTGGTCATGTCATGCAAAGTCTCAATCATAATATGGTAATTGCTCAATCTTTTCAATGGACAGAAATTATCCAACTTTCGGATCTATACAAAATTTTGTAAGCACATAAATTATATTTCTAGCATTTGTGGTGCTTTATTGCATAATATAAAATAGAACTAAGGAGTTGACTGCTTTTTGATTTTGTTGCTACTACTTAATTTTAAGAAATTATGACTTAAATTGTACAGTATTTGTAAAATTCATAATTTTCCCCATTGAAAAGATCAGGTACTTACAGTACTGGGATTGTGCCATCACACTCGCAAAGCTGATATCTGGCTGGATGGTTGTACCTGAATTTTTTCCTTCAGTGTACATTTATTACTTGCACATTTCTAACTCCTCAGTTGTTGCAATATATTGTTTTCAAGTTATTATTTTCATTTCACTAACCTAGGGGGCCTTTTTCTGTTTTATTAATTAATAAATGACACAATTGGTGCGGGGATGTACCGGTACGGGGGAGTATCGGTGCAAGGACGTATAGGCATGTAACTGCATGTTTAAACAGCAATGTGTAGGAATGGTGGAAATGATTGATACTGGTAGCAAAGATAAACTCCTATATAACACTTTTGGTATTGAATGTTATGTGGGTAATGGTAGGCAATTGCAAATTAAACTTGCAATAAAAAGGAAGAGTTTGGATAAATGTAAAGAAAATAATGTAATATAATTATAGCTATATACTAGAGGTAGGAACTTTGGTCATTCATATAAGTATATTATGATAGATAAATATTAAGGAGAGTGGAAACATCTAAGGGTGATATACAGGAAGATATTATAGATACAAGGCAGATAAATCCATGTGGAACTTGCAAAAAAACAACAACATTTGCGATTAAATACTTTTATACACCAACAACTGGTATCTCAGGTGTAATAAACAAACAAACAATGAAAACTATTGTGAACATAAACTGGATACCCAAGTTCATTTGTGGCACAAATTCCAATGTTTTTTTTTCTTATTATTCCCTTGGACTTCCTTGGAGAACTGAACTAATATTGTCATTGTTGTCAGAGTTCAGTACCCACAGGAAATCTATGGTATAAACTAACTAGCTTGATGTGTTGGAACTCGTGGCTCTCAGTATTATATGACAGTCACAGCTAGAGCTCCTGAACCACTTGTTTGTCAGTGATGTGAATTACTTATTAAATGTACCACTGAAGTAACCCTAACGTAATAAGACTGGACGGCGCTTTCCGTGTTCGCTGTGCCAGATAACTACATTACAAATTCCATGTTCCATGAATGAATCAAAGCTCGTTAAGCAACTATTGCCATTACTTGTGACTGCCATGATAAAAGTCACCAGGGATAACAACTTGGAGATAACACAATCTCATTGATTTGGCAGTTTCTCGAGAACTCTTCAGTGGATCGGTAGTTTCCTTTGGAGGATATACTGTCTTTAACCTATTAGATTATTAGTTCTCCATAGCAATGGGAAGATGATTGAGGAGAGATAACATTAGTATCTTTAAGGGATATAACAATTCTTCAAATGAGATTCAGAATTCCACAATAAATACATTGTAAACAACACATAGAAATATAATAAATTCCATTTTACCACCAATACAGTGGTTACTGCAATTATTTTGAAGTCTGTGCTAGCCGTCAGACCTAGTAAACCTTCATAGATGGCTACCCTCCACAATAATCTGTACAAAGATTTGATCAAACAAAAACAAGCTTAAAAAAAATTTAAAAAAAAAGAACAAGGGACTAACTTTGAATGTTGGAATGCATTAATTAACTACTAGTATTTGTAAGTATGGGAACACTGTTGCTTACCCAAGAAAATTCTGTTCATGGCTCATTTTTCACTTCATAATATAGAGTTGTTATCCTTTTACTAGTAACCTAAAAGCCAAATTTTTTTAATTTAGATTGAGTGCAGTGGACTAACGGATCGCAGATCAAATATGTCAGCCCACTAAAAAGCTTTATTGTCACTTAATTTCCAATTAGACACTGCACAGATTTCCTGTGGTAATTATGCAACAAGCACTCAAGTGGGTCGGCCATATTTGATCTGCTGATTTGTATAGTCCATTGTTCTGAATGTGCTCTCTGACTCTTTGTAAAATCAAAAGCAGTCTAGCAAATTGAGAATTTTGTAAAGTAAGGAAAAGCCAATGTTACTTTGTTTAGTAGACTTTTATATATTCATCTTAGATCGATATGGAGCAAAATTTTGAATCTTAGTATTACGAAAGATTTTATACAATACTTCAGTTTCTCTCTGGACCCAAAACTTACTAGTACACATAACTGCAAACACACACACACACACACACACACACACACACACACACACACACAATAGAAAGAAAGAAAAAGAAAAAAAAACAACTGATAAATGTCACCATACTCTGGCATCCATATTGTTAATTAACGCAGGTAAGGTATTCACACTTGGTGCACTAGCTAGCTAGCTAGGGTCCCTTTGCAATGTGCTCATCCTATTGGTACAATTCTTCTGTGTCATGTTGTACCTTAATTACAGTGTGAGAACAATGTTATACTAGTAGTACTATTATCGTCACATCTGATACCTATCATAACCAAGGTAAGGCAATGTGTATTGGTGTTTATGTTATGCACCATTTGTATAATTATTCCATGTTGAAAAAATGATTAAGCAGTGTTGTGATTTGTTAATTCATGAATTTAATGTAATGTCAAAGGGCCTTCAGTTCTGTATTTTTTAAGGAACAAAATCCTGGAAAGAGTAATTATCTTTAAAGTCAAAATAGATATTATCAAGAATAAACAGACAGACACTGTAAATTCCCACACATACAAATTATACTGAGAGGCCGTTATCTGAGTCCAAACTAACTAGTGAGAAAATTACGAATGGTAAGGTGAAGGTCCTGCCTCTCCTGATCAACTTAAAGATAAGATTTAACCACTTTAGCTCTCTCAAATTGAAGATGCTCCGGGGATTGTTAAGATCAATGGTTTGTGATAGATTAAGGCTTACTAGCATAAAGGTATGGTGTAAACTGAGACTTATTGCCAGCCTCAGTGTTTTTAGTAGCCTGAGCACAAAGATCCTAAGCAACATATGGCAGTATGCGAATGAATAAAATTAATGTGCTGTAAAATATGTATGTATGGGATATGACTTAAACAATATCTTCAAACGATACAATGATGCTTACAGTAGTGTGGAATGACACAAAAAAGTGTAGAATGTAGATGTTGCATGATTTATTTGGCTTCTCTTTCTGTGCTCTCAGCAACGTGTTACATTATGGAAAAATTTATGAATCCTTCCCCATCTCACACTCACACACACACTTACCTTCCTTTTATTATTTTTGAAATGTTTGTATATATATATTTTTTTCCTTTTAAAATGTATCTTGTATTATAAGAAGTAGGTGTCCAATAAACCACCTGTGTTGATTGGTGATTACCTGGATCTTCCACTGATCCTATTTACTGACATTTGTTTTTATTGTAAAATCGAATATTTTTGTAAAAATTTGTAATTGGCCAAAACTGCTATTTAGTGACATTTTGTGCATAAAGCTTCACTGTACAATTTTGAATGGAAGTGACTTGAAAAGGATCTTTCGTAAATATAAATTTTAAAATGAATGCCAGAAAATTAGTTTCATTACCCTCACATTGTTGCCATGGTGATACGTATGAATGAAAAGTGTCTATTGCAATATCCTTGAATAGTTTCGTGATCTTTGACAAACTAGGGAATGTTATTGAATAGTTTCATTATATTTATCTGACTGAAAAGGCATGTGAGGAAATGACAATTACTTAATGGAAGTTATATGAAAAGGCCATTTTTAAAGTCCTGTTACTCCATTAAAGTCAAAAGACTGTTTTTAACAGAAATCTGGCTGGTATCACTACAAGACTGTTGTGTGTAGTAACTGTGTCAGCTGCTTTGAAATTAAGTGATCTTAAATTGATAGATAGTAGCGAATACCTACTTTTACAAGATATCCTGATTAGTACAGTGATATTGGGTGATACCTTATATTTTGTTGGAAAAATTGCCTTATTGCGCCAGTTTGGTCTTAACATAATTACTCGTAGTCTATGTTACTAGTACTTGGATTTTTTTCTTCCTTTCATAAGTCCCAGTGTACCAATCAAAATTTATCAAGTTAAAGGTAATCTCCAAATGTTTGAAATTTCCCATTTTCATTTCAGAAAATCCCAATTCAGACATTAAAGATGATAAAAGCCCTTTTTAATAAAAGTTTATCTGAAGCGTACCTAGTTACATAATTATCCTCTCATTTTCTACGTAGCCATAACAGGTTACGATATCTGTGATCTACATGGCACAAGGCGGCAATATATTACACCATGCCATTTTATTTTGTGAAAGCAAGGCCATCCCCATGAAGGCCAGGACGGTAGATGTTGTTCTGCTGGCCAGTCATTAAGAACTAAATTATTAAATTAAAAATGGAATAAGGCATTGAATCCTAGTTAAGCAATGAATCTCGAGTAGGAAAGAATTTCCATTTTCTCAAGGAAAGTTTGTTTTGGAGGGTAATTCCCTGGAGAGTGCCTCTAACTTCAGGGTTCAGCAGAGGGCTAAGTTTCGACCACTGTCTTATGTTATGGTCAGGTAATTTAGGTGTCTGTCAGTCTCTCAAACTTGTATTATACAGAAAGGTAAGTGTGAAAAGGGCCACAGTCAGGTAATGTGCTTGCTTATAGCTTGACTCTCTTCAATTAAAATGCTTTTATGGAATGCAAACACTTTTTGGCAAAGTGAAAAAAATACTGAAGAAACATGAAGCCAAATATTGATTGACATCCTAATGATCTTTTGGTTTCCAGTCTGTTATTCAAATACTGTGCAGTGGTTGTTGTTGTATCAAGTTCTGTTATGAAAACATATAAGATGTTATTCTAGGAAATGAGCAAAAAATGCCATTTAATCTCAGTTGATTTTCAATAAATTCCAAGTAAAGTCTGGTTAAGAGAGTCTTCACAAGGTTGTCATAAAGAAATGATTGATGTTTACCCCACTGTAAGAAGCATACCCTCGAGTCCTGCATCCCAAATCAAAATTGATTTCTTGTCTCTTTGTGCTTGTCGCTGAGAATGGATGGGGTGAAAAATACAAGATCATATCGACTTCTGTTCATATCAGTGTTTTTGTTGATTAAATGAAGCATTGTTGGAGGAACTTTGGGGTTAGAAAACAGGGGGAGAGGTTAAAGTGGTATATGTCTGGGGTTAAGAGCCCCCAGGGGAAAATCATCCTGAGTCTTTGGAGACTTCATTAATTTGCTTCATTTATTCCCATTGGTATCTATATTTGGATATGTTTCTGACTTTTTGATAAATTAACAGTTCAGCTGACACCATCATTAAGAGTAGGATACTAGTACTATATAATATTATATGTATTAGTTTAGTTACAGAAAAAAAGGGTTATTTAAGGGTTTTTCTTAGCACAGTGAGAGGAATGTGAAAGGGCTTGTTATTTAGCTTTATTTAGCTTTTAGGGAAAAAAAGAGGCATTTTTAGGTTAAAGAAATGTTCATCACAGTGAGTGCAATGTGGCAGTAATAGTAAACTTAAAAAATATACTCATATGTTTGTCTGTATATTTTCCCTGCCTTATGTGTTTCTGTATTATTTTCCAGCTATCTCTCATTATTCCTATGTTAAAAGTGATGCCTTAAAACACAGAGATGTCATGGTGGAGGGGGTACGATCACACTTAAGAGTAAAGAGACAAAATCTGAACCCAACAAGTACCACACAGAGAGTGACAACAACTACACTACAGACAAATAGTCCGTCCAGACCAACATCGTCACCGGTGACTCCAACATCACCATCAGTGACTCCAACGTCGCCATCAGTGACTCCAACGTCGGCACCATCTACAACAACATTGCCACTTCCAACATCGCCACCTTTGGATAAGAACACTACTATAGGGGTTGTTGTAAGTCTTTTACATGACTGTACAGTTTTTCTATAGCAATATGTTACTAACAGTAACTGATAACTCATTCATGTTGACATGTCATGTTTAAGGGTGCATTCCCAGAGATTTAGATCGATCCAGAGATTTAGATTTAGATCTACCTAACTCCCTGGGGGGTTCACGCTAAATATTGCAGTCAGCCAAGTGTGCACCATAGTTAATTACCCACTTACAGCTTTTAGTAGGCAGGACAGACGCTTAAGCGGGCTAAGCTGACAGTGATCTAGTGAGACTCCACACAGGGATCGATCTAAAATCTATGGGAATGGGGTCTAAGACTCTCATTAATCATTTCTTGTTAATCATTTGTTGAAAATAAACATCAAGATGTAAAGATGAAAAGTTATCCATCCTGCGGTGAATTACCAAGAAAGATTGGGTTGTTTGATTTTTGTGTGCCAGATGGTGAATCCTAGCTGTTTTGTCCTATGGGGAAGGATGATTTGGCTTCATGGATTCCACCAATAATTTTGTTTCATATTTTTGGTTAACCTGTGGTATTGCCTGAATTATGGATTTTGATTTAAATTTTATTTTAGATGACTAAAATGTTAACCATTTGACATGTGCAGTGATGTCTTAGTCTAGCCAGTTTAATTGCCACTTCATGTTTTAAGTTTTGACTTTTTACAAAATGTAATTGAAGACTTTTTGCCAACAATTGAAGATCCCCTTGCCAACCCTAAAAGGCTGATGGCTGATCAGTAGACAATTAGATTACAATGAGGACACATGCTTAATCAAAAGCTGTGTGTAATTTGTAAATTGGTAGGTATAAATAGATCATGTTGAGGTAGTTGTCTTCTTTACTGCATCTCTGCAGAACATAATGTCCTTACTGAACCCTTAGCCAGACGCTGATTTCTCTTCATAAGCTTGACTTGCAAAATGGCTGTGCTGTCTGCCTGTTATAAGATATAATATGTACCAGTCTGTTATAAAGTGCATGTCTCCTATATAGAGATATGTATGTCCCAGTTTGAGACAGCTGGTACGTGTGTCCAAACAACCCAAAGTGCTGTACTATATACACACAGCGATTATATATTAATGGGATGCTTGCATTGATAGAATGTTTATCCACTAGCTTAGTCTCTAACTGGCCAAACTCAAACTTGAGCTTAACAGGATTAATAAATGATTTAGCTATTAAAACACAATGCTGTGTATATATATTTAGTTAAAGCCTTTTAAAAAAAGTGTTTGTGAATCTTGCATATTATACTGTACATTTGTGTAAAATGGGGTGTGTTTGAGAGCTCCCTGTTTGGGTATACACATACTATTACTGTATTAGGTAGTGGATTTAATTCAAGTCTTACTTGGAATAGGTGGACTGCATAATCCCATGCAGTGACTTGCCTGACAAAATACTGATAAGAATACAAGGTGTACACTATGGCTATGATTTATAAAGATTTAAATTTATCTTAGTATTATATATAACAATATCTTTTCAGGATGACCACACATACTACTATTCCAAGTTTAGTGATGATGACCAAGAGTTCAACAAGTACTGGGTGGACTTGGAGTCCATGAGAGACCAAAGAGTCCACCATGAGACACTGTCAGATGCACATCAAACAGCTGCTGTAAGTAAAGTGTTTATACATATATATATATATATGATCTCCGTGCTGTTAAAACACAGCTATATGTCATTGTGAGAATTGTGTCAATTAGTGCTTTTGAAATACTCATGTGTTTATGCAGACTTTGCACCATTTCTGTCCATTTTTTGTATTGTACTGTCTTGAGAAATTGACAATTTGATAGCCTTACCTTTACATAAGAAGTCATCTTTATGCAGCACTGTGCTAAATAATATACCAAAGTCAATAAACTGAAATGATTTTGCTTGGACCAAACAGAAGTAAAATTCTGAGAGGGAGTGCCACCCTACCACAACTTACACTCTTAGGCTTTTTTGTACATTAGTAGGGGTCACTTTTTTGTGACTACGATGCATTATTTCTTAATTTTGTACTAGTAGCTGCAATAAACTTTCACAGACTCATAGTTTAAACCTTCATAGCCAGAGCACCATCAAACTTTTTATACAATGGTACACTGAACACATTGCCACATCCAACACAATGTCACATCCAACACATTGTAACTTCTAATGGAATGTGACAGTTAAAACCTTGTCACACCTAGCACAATGGCACACCAACCACAATGCACAACCACTTCACACTTGACACACTGTCACATCTATCGCAGTTGCACATCACATAACATGGCACTTTTCACACAATGTCACATCTGGCACACACACACACACACACACACTATCACAACAGATGCAACAAAATATCACATCTGACACACACATGCACAATTTCACATCATTAGTAACACAGTGTCACATCTTACAACTGTGACATGCAACAATATCACCTTTGACTCTAATATTCTTGTAAGTCAAACCAAACATCATAACATTAAATTTTAAAGAGAAAAAAAAAAGTCACTTTTTCACACCTATGGGTTTCAACAGTATCTTCAGGGAGGTGTTATGCATTACACATTCATCCAATGTTCAATTAAAAACCTATTCAGTTTACAAGACTTGCAGGTCTTTTATCCACACATGTATGTGGACACATGTATGAAGAGCCCCTACCTAATTTTTGCAAATGCCACAGGAGAAAGATCAGATTATGTGATTCGACAGGCTTTTTTCAGACTATTAATGAAACTGTCACTTTTTATTCCCAAGATTGCGTATCTTGGTAAAGATTAGAATTTGCTCAGTCTGAATTGCTCGCTTCTGAAAATTGATCTTGGAGTGCTTCATTGTCTCCTCTGGGGTGATTTGTAATTTACTTATGCTTAAAGAATGCAAGCTAAAAGCACAAACGGTCTTTGTTTTAATTAATTATCTGAGCAGCATATTGGTGTGATTTCTGTATGCCATATAATAGATATGTAAGAATGTAATGGGAAAGAATTGTAATTATACTAAGGCGAAGTCCCTTCTTTGGTGTAGAGATACGACTAGTAGATAAATTGCTAGGCAAGCTGTATAATGTCTTTTTGTCATATGACTATATGAATTAACATAAGGAAAACACAATTCCCCTATTGGGGTTCCAGCACACTTTTTACAGTTTGTTTTATGCAGTTATGTGCAATTCTAGGGACCATCATTAGTAACATTTCAGAAAATGATACTTTCTAACCCTGAAGGCATTATATATTACATTACGTTTTTCAACATGAATCAGCTCTTAGTACCTAGTGGGGTAATGTACCACTGAGATAATGGACCAGTCTTTGTAAAGAGAGAGAGCCAGACTGAGAGAGAGATTTTAGCCATTTTTAAGAAATTACCCTTTTTGAAACTGAGTTAAGCAAAAATGGTCTGAGTGAGAACTAGAACATTGTCGGGGGGGGATTCCAAGAAAAACAAGATTATCCTTTTTTGAGTGTCTTGTGCCCTTTAGACTGAAACTTGAACTATTGGCTTATGCTTGATGCTATGATACTATATTACCTAATTCAGTACCTTGATACAGGCATTATAACAGGATACTGTCACTACATTCACAAGCAATTATTATCACCTTTGTTAGCTTACTGCTGTGTTGGATAATAGCCTCAATAACACATATAATGAGCTGCCAGGCTGTTTCCAAGATGATCAGAAAACGTTTCACATGCAGTTATATATAATGTATCATAATCCAGTGCCATAATTTATGGCTTTTATACTGAGTACACAAAATATTGTTCTGTGCCTGAACAGTATTAGTCCTTAAATTGTTCTGATGCCACATGAAACATTGCAAAAGGCATTTAGTATTGTAAATCACAGTGTTGATGATAGCATTTCACTTTATTGTATAATTTTATGAGTACCAGTACTAATTTTATCATCATTGATTATCCCCCTCCCCCCTTTTTTTTCAGAGAATACACCTGACATCAAAATTCATCTTTTATGGTCACACTATCAGCCAGGTTACCATAGCAACAGGAGGTAGGTAACATAATTGCAGTTAAAATTAGTGCCAGGTGGCATGTGTGCTAATGGCTTGGTCTGTACATCTTCAGCATTAACATTGTCACGCAGTGCCCATTTTGAGCACTGCCTGTGTCTGAGCAAGACAACTCGAGTAGACTTTCCCCAATTAAAAATCAAATATATATAATATTGATAAAAAATTAATTAGAATCATCTCCAAAGAGACTTAACGTTTTTTTTTTCACCTGTAATATATGACATTTCTTGTCAACTTTTGCCAAGGGACCTTGGACATATGACTGACTCTTCCATGTTAGAATGATGCCTCATAATAAATAATATATTTAAAAAAAATCAATTTTTGTCTATTTTGAAGCAGTTTAACTTTTTACAATTATAACACAAGACTGACAATTGAGCATTTATTTTTTAGTCATTTGTACAACTGTTTTAAAAGAAGCATCACTTTTTTTAAAGGTTTCATCTACATGAGTGACTTTTTGCATCAAAGACTTACAGCAACGCAGTATGTGGCACCCCTTATGGCAAACTTTGACACTAGGATTGGGAATGAAAATTCAAATATTTATTACTTTTCTAATGGTAAGTACCCCGACTTTCAGGTGTTACAGAACTCTTACATTTACATTAACATGATATGTGTGTGACTCTTCTGTGACCTCTGAACCTCGGGGTAATGACTGTTGATTTTCATAAAGAGTTTCATAAAGATGGAAATAAGGAATTTTTATTCCAGGGGTCATTCCCAATGAAACTATTGTTCCAGGTAGATCAGTACAACTTGTGGGGACTCTCAGATTAACAGATTAACAACCAATATGCCATAATGGCATAATGTAAAGGACTGTTGCAATAATTAATTAACTCTTCTGACTGTCTAAGGAAAGCAGTGGTGACATAATAGTGAAGCACAAGCTTATTGCTGCCTTTTGTTTAGAGCATTTCTTGTTGTATAGCACATATAGCCAGTTAAAAAATATAGATAATCACTTTATAACTGACTGAAGTCGGCATCAAAGTAAAAAATGAGATGCACTTGTTATTAATTTAAACTTGGTGTTTTGAAATTTTCCAGAAACCATATTAGTTGTTCATTGGGACAAAGTCCATCTCAAAGACAATCCTGGTGGTGAGTTTAAGGACCATTCCCAAATCTTATCGAACTAACTGTGGATAGATCTATCTCTGAGGGGATTCTCGCTAAATTGCAATCAACTTATGTAGGGGGTAATTTTATTTAGCAGCTTCAGTGGGCTTGCCAGACATCTTACACCCCATTCTCATAGATTAGATNTGTACTTTTTCGGCGACCAGCGACCACCTTGTAAATTTGAAGCCCTCTTCACGGCGTGAATCCATTTCTCACGCAAACATTTTTCTGTTGGAAACTGGTGTCCTCCTCTATTCGAACAGTGTGGTACACAGCACAGACTAGGCATTTTTACAGGTTTCAGTAGAATGAAAGTGGAAACGAATTTCGTGCTCTACTTTCTTTCAGATAACAACAATAGGGAAGCCTCGCTTTCGAGATACAGCCTCGCGTTTTAGGTACTGACTCGGTTTCAGTGACATCTGGTGGCGACCTTTTCTGCACGACACCTAATTGTTCTGATGCCATATGAAACATTGCAAAAGGCATTTAATATTGTAAATTACATTGTTGATGATAGCATTCACTTTTTTGTATATATATGAGTACCAGTACTAATTTTACATCATTGTTTATTTTTCCCCCTTTTTTTCAGAGAATACACCTGACATCAAAATTCATCTTTTATGGTCACACTATCAGCCAGGTTACCATAGCAACAGGAGGTAGGTGACAGAATTGCAGTAATAAGTAGTGCCAGGTGGCATGTGTGTTAATGGCTTGGTCTGTACGTCTTTAGCATTAACATTGTCAAGCAGTGCCCATTTTGAGCACTGCCTGTGTCTGAGCAAGACAACTCAAGTAGACTTTCCCCAATTAAAAATTAAATATATAATATTGATAAAAAATTAACTAGAATCATCTCCAAAGAGATTTAATTTTTTTTCACCTATAATATATGACGTCTTGTCAGCTTTTGCCAAGGGACCTTGGACATATGACTGACTCTTCCACATTAGAATGATGCCTCATAATAAATAATATATTTAAAAAAATCAATTTTTGTCTATTTTGAAGCAGTTTAGCTTTTTACAATTATAACACAAGACTGACAATTGAGCATTTATTTTTTAGTTATTTGTACAACTGTTTTAAAAGAAGCATCACTTTTTTTAAAGGTTTCATCTACATGAGTGACTTTCTGCATCAAAGACTTACAGCAACGCAGTATGTGGCACCCCTTATGGCAAACTTTGACACTAGGATTGGGAATGAAAATTCAAATATTTATTACTTTTCTAATGGTAAGTACCCCGACTTTCAGGTGTTACAGAACTCTTACATTTACATTAAAATGATATGTGTGTGCCTCTTCTGTGACCTCTGAACCTCGGGGTAATGACTGTTGATTTTCATAAAGAGTTTCATAAAGATGGAAATAAGGAATTTTTTTTCCAGAGGTCATTCCCAATGAAACTATTGTTCCAGGTAGATCAGTACAACTTGTGGGGACTCTCATATTAACAGATTAACAACCAATATGCCATAATGAAAAGGACTGTTGCAATAATTAATTAACTCATCTGACTGTCTAAGGAAAGCAGTGGTGACATAATAGTGAAGCACAAGCTTATTGCTGTCTTTTGTTTAGAGCATTTCTTGTTGTATACCACATATAGCCAGTTAAAAAATATAGATATAATCACTTTATAACTGACTGAAGTCGGCATCAAAGATAAAAAGTGAGATGCACTTGTTATTAATTTAAACTTTGTTTTTTGAAATTTTCCAGAAACCATATTAGTTGTTCATTGGGACAAAGTCCATCTCAAAGACAATCCTGGTGGTGAGTTTAAGGACCATTCCCAAATCTTATTGAACTAACTGTGGATAGATCTATCTCTGAGGGGATTCTCGCTAAATTGCAATCAACTTATGTAGGGGGTAATTTTATTTAGCAGCTTCAGTGGGCTTGCCAGACATCTTAGCCACTTTAGCTGAAAGCAATTTAGCGAGAAACCCCTCGCGGATAGATTGATCCTGTTATGGAAACCCAGTCTTAGTGACATTGTTATGTCTCCTTAATCAAAATGATTTATCTCTTATATGTGAAAAAAAGGTATTGGGAACCATTATCAGGGAAAGAAGTGGAGGTAGCATGTTTTGTAAAGGTTGAATGTTTGGATTTGGAGATTATTTCTTAATTGTTTCATTAAATTTTATGATCATCTGCATGTTTAATAGAAAGCCTAAAGATAATTTTTCTTTAACTGATGAATAATTTATTGATCATCCATTTCTTTTCAGCTGGAAATTTTACATTCCAATTGCTTTTAAAGAACAGTGGAGAAATTTATTTTGTATACAAAATCGTAAGTTGTAATGTGATTACTCATCAAAGATTTTTACCAATATGTACTTGACTGTGTTGCAACAGGTCTACCAGATTTATGCTACTTGCCTACCAATTTGCATCCATTATTCAATTAATATGCAATTTAGAATCACACCAGGAGGAATAAGATTATGATCTTTTTCCTGAGACTGCTCTTAAGAATTGTAAAGTGTTACTAGATGATTTTTATTGTGAATTGACACTGAATTAAATCGCAGTGACTGTTATATCTCATACTTGCTTCAGTGGAGAAATGAATGATATTACAAAGTCACCCAATAACTGCCAAATCAGAAACAGAGTGGTCAAACATTTTATATATAATTTTCTAGGGCACTTTTTTTTTGTGATCTAGATTTTCATTTTTGAAACATTCTAGTTTCATATAGAGGATTTTATTATATTTAATACTGGACTTACAATTTGGTCCAGTTGTTGACTTTGCATCACCCTCTAGGAACCTTCAGCCATTCTACGGAGAATCCAGATGAACTTTTCTAAGTCTTGTCATGTAATTGACTTGTTATCTGTGTTTTCAGTAGATAGGCTGAATCTCTGAAAGGGAGAGCAACTTCATCATGTGGACAAAATTGTAGGTCTAGCAAGGATTTTCCCAGAGAACCCCCCAGCTGTCATTTGGACAGCCACCGAGGTCACCGGACGGCCTACATATTCAAAAACAACTGGACAGCTTATGAATTTTTTTGAAAAATAATGGCTTGGACTCCCTGAATTTTTGTAGGAAATTACAGCTGTCAATTTTAGATGGGCTGTACCCCCCAACTCTGAAAAAAGCCCTGAGGTCCCGTATTAGATTTAAATATGTGAAATACTAAGTTATTACTTACACATGTTCACATTCAAGGTACCTGTGTCTGTCCCCGCTATCTCCTCTGCCTATCACCCGGTAAAAGTTGGTGTCTCAGATGCCTATTATATTGACAGACTTGAACCAAATACAGGTAATTTTAAAAACAATGCATCAGAGAGGTAATGTGTTGGTTTATCCAGTAGGGTGATGTCATTTATTAGATTTATTTTTTCATCTTTTGTGACTAATTATATGAATCGCTGCATTAAATCTCCCATAATTTGGCCTGGTAGTTCTAATATTAATCGGCAGAAAAACACCATATGCAAGTAAACACTTCTGTGTAAATATTTTGTTTTACTTTGCCATGAAGAACACACATGGATGGTTTTAAATAAGTACATGTATGTCTTTTCACTTCAGGCATGACATTTCGCACAATTTATGAATATGACAGAATAGTTCTGGACCTTTCAAAAGTAAGAAGCAAAAGTGTCTACAAGTTGTTTCCATTGGCAAGTGAGTGCCTATTATAGTGACTGTCTCTATTTTACACACTGAATCCCTTGCTGTATTTGCTATTTCTCTTACTACTTTGCAATTTTTTTTAGCTCATTGGTTTGTTTTACCTATCTTTATATTGATTAATTCACTGAATTTTTTTACCATATTGTTATTTAGTTTGTCTTGATAAATGCTATGCATATATCTTTGAAACAGTAGATGTTACCAGTATGTTGTTATTATAATAAATTGTCTTTCTAAAAAATAAAAACAAGTGGAATGGTTAGCATACAGATCTTAAATTTACTTTAAGTTATGTATAAACTGCTGCATCCCTCCCTTTCTATTTCAGCCTGTAACATACAGACCACCTGTGACACTTGCACCACTGCCAACTTGGCTCAGTTTAATTGCTCCTGGTGTCAAAAACTCAACAAGTGCTCAGATGGCATGGACCGCCACCGGCAGGCATGGCAACTAAATGGTTGTCATCAGAATGTGAGTACTATATGTGATACTCACTGTGAGCATACTTAATTGTGAAAATAATAGCAAATTTTCACTTTTGTTTATTGTAACAACTTTGAAGTTTAAAGAGTGGGGAATTTGGTGTGTTTGAAGAAAAGCTTCAGTCATTTTTGCTGCTGTGGATGTTCAGTATGATTACATCAGTGAAGCATACACAAGGACCCAGCTAATAAATAATCCACCATTGCCAAGCCAACAGCCACCACAACATGGAAAAACTTTAAAACGTATGAAATGAAGCAGGTTAAGTTAGCAGATACAAAACATGATAATTTTGTCAAGAATTGTTTTCACCCCCTTTTTTTATTCTATGTTTCATTGGTCACTATGTTTTCTTGGTTACTTGTCTGCTCAAATGTAATAATAGTTTACTAGTTGGCCACCTGCTCCAGTACATACTTTTAAGTAGTTTTTGCTCCATAGTTTTGTATACACAATTGATCAACACATTGCTTTATTTTTGTGTGTCATGGTAGTTCTACACTGCCCTAAGCTTCCTATACAACACTGCCATAATGGTAACAATCTTCTTTACCCATGTATAGTGCAATTGTGCTTCATGTAATTACGGCCTATTTTCAAGTGCTCTTTCAGTGTGTTTGATATAGGTCTGCCACTCACTTTCTATGGTTTCCATTAGTTTCAGCAATTGGCTGTGTTCTGTTCACTCTTTACATATACACATCTGACTTTTGTAGTTTTTGTTCTTGCATTCACTGCTTGTCTTTAGGGAGCTAAATTAAATCCAATACTGGTTTGCCAAATGCAGACATTCACTGTGACATTTCTTGTAAAAGTCACTGTGCAAACCTTCTACTTGAGGTGATGTTATCAATTTACTGTCGAAAAATGAATTCTTTGTTTGCATATGGGTAGCCTGTGCTGTGGCTTCTCTAAAGTAGCAATTTATATGCAAACTCTCTGCTCGAGGTAATGCCATCAGTCGGCTGTAAAATTTTATACGAAGAGCTGGCAGTTCAGTGTATTTTGGCATATTTTGGGCAATTTAAGCTTTTAGGTATTTTTTCATGCTATCCTGAGTACTAAAAAGATGGGACGACACAAAGTAATTTAAAAGATGGCAGATTGATTTAGTAATACTCTCCACCAGAGACCAAATGAGTGATGATGCTGATTCTGTGTGAAATTTTACTATGTGGCCCTGGTAAAGGGTACAACCTAGTTAGTTCATTGTGCTTTTGTCTTTGTAGTGACATTATGGCTGTTGTTTATGGATCCATGTACTGTCTGAATTCCTACAAAGTATACCTTCTGCATGGTAGCATATAGTACAGACATGAACATAAATCTGCAGCTAACAAACTGTTGATATTGATTATTAAGAACATGATATAAGTATACTTCTTTATGGAATTGTAAGTTTGTACATGTGGGCCAAGTGAATAACTGCGTCAGATCAGAGATTTTTGGCTATAAATAAGTTATTTCTGAAGGATTGTAAACAAGTTTTCTACCATTTTGACCTTTAACCAAAGGGCCTTGATTGTCATTGCACATTAATTTCCATCATCATTATAAAGAGACATTATGAAAGGTCTACTTGTCCAGAAAAATAATTATTACCAATGCCAAGGAGGTTCTGTCATTGGCTTTGTTGCAATGGTTTATTTAGCCTTTAACTCAAAAAGTTTTGGATGATTTTGATAAAATTTTCAGAGAAGGTCTGTATTGACAAATGTCTCATGGCAAACTTTTCAGGGCTTGACACGTTTGAGTGAATGTTTACATAGTACAACAACCTCATCAAACCCCACAACTACAAGCACATCCAGGAGAACTCCCGCAGTAAAGAGGACAACTGATGCAGTGCGGACTGCACCTCCAAAGTTTGTCCCCACTGGATGCCATTTAAACACAGTAAATTGAATTATTTACTTGTGATTCTGCGTGACTTTCACATGTTTTTCTCCCTTCGGCCAATGGCTTTCTAGTAACCTGCCTCATTAAATTAACCTTCTTACCTAGATGCCTATTCTTAATAATTGCACTCGTCAAATTGGAGATTGAAATTAATGATTCTATCAATATTGATCTGTGAATGTTATATGGTTTTCTTGTAAATGATTTCAGTAATGAGACTCCAAGTCATTACTTCTCTTTATTTGAGTATTTTTAAAAGGCATGAATATGATTTAACCAAATAAACCTATTTCTGCAATGAGATATCAGACAAAGCAAATCATGATGTTCGATGCACTTTCTATGACTATAATTTCCAGTAAATTTAACGAGCTTACTACCAGTCGCACTCCATCCTTTCCCTTGTTAGACTTGTTGAAGCTTTTGTTTCTTATGTGACGTTTTGTGATTCTTTATCTGTTTTCAGAAAAGTGTTGAAGTTAGACTGCAGCACAGCAAAAAACCTACTAAATTTTCCCAAAAATCAATAAATATGTTTTTTTTTTTTCTGAATCTTATCTGGATTACTAAAGTGTCACTTTGTTGAAGGCATTTACATCTATGCTGAAGTTGATGGTTTCAATAATCTGGTAGCCCCAGTCTAACTTAAGAACATATCTGAATATAGCTGAAGTATATCTCTGGTGGCATTTTTTTCTTGTGTGTTTGTGTGCATTTGGAGCATCTTTGTATATTGAAGTATTACACATAGTTACTAAGACTCTGCTAAACTTAAGTGTTACCCCATAACTGATAATTGTTTGAGCACATCATTTTTTTTCTTCGGATATTGGCTGAATCTTCTAAGCATTGCCTGACTCAAATTTTGCACAATAGAAAAAATTACAGACCCCAAAGCATCTGACTTACATGGAGTCTACTGTTACAGTACCTATATATTTACATGCTATGCAAAAAAAAAAAATAAATAAATAAATAAATAAATAACTACTCTCTACCATAATTTTTATTGACAAACTTGAATGACAGATCTGTAAATTGTCCCCAATGTATTTAACAAAATAATATTATTTATTGTGTCCCAGGTTGATTGTCCGATTGACATGCCTCCCCATCCTGGTATTATCCTGGTGTCCTGATAATATCTGTTTGGCTTGTGATACGTGTAAGATACAAATAGATGGTGTCACAGCATACATACATATCTATTAGATGTTCAACCCTATCCATGGCCAATATGGTAAATTGCAGTGTTCCCGAAAAATCATCAAACAGCTGAACATGTCTGCCATGAATTGAAAATGTCTAATGTCAACATGTCAGTCACAATGTCTCTATTATCGGATGACAGAGCATTTAAAATACTAAGTTCTGGCCCAGTTGTCAGCGCTTTTTGCCACTGCATGAAGTGCTCCAGTGCAAAAAAGTAGGTAATGCATTGATACTGGTAAGTCTTGCCCTCATGAGCATTTTCTAGCCCCCTTGCGAAATTCTGAGGTTTTGTACGTTGTTTGTACAACTTTTTTTTTAATTTAAAGCAAATGCATAGTCTTCTGGAACTTACTTTACTGTTTTGAACTCAAATAGAATATCCATGCTTAGATTCTGAATCAAATTCACCCAAACAAATTAAACGTGTGGTAAAAAATGACATCGATGTGTATTCCCCATGGCCACTTCACAATGAAAAAGGTACACATTAAAAAAATGGAAATTTAATTGAGAGGAATGGAATAAAAATAAACTTGTGCCATGGGTAATTAATACTTTCATTATATTTCTTTAGCAGTTTGGCACCCATGGCCGCCTTGAGCTTTTTCCCGTCATGTGTCTTCAGTCTAAATGTACTCTCATGTTTTCCTTTCCCAACAAGTATGTATGGGCCAATGTAACTGTCCACCTCATTTCCCCCTTTTCTATCAGCCCGCCTCAGGTCTAGTTTCAAAACCTTACACCCAATCTGGTACTCCTGAAAAAAGCAAAGAAAATAATTGCACAATCTAATACAGTTTAAAAACATATCATATTTGATCGTGAAAGGGCATATAAGCATATTGGTATGCAAGTAAATTAAATTGATAATGAAGCCCAAGTGTAGTATTATATATATATATATATATATATATATATATATATATATTAGCTAACCAAATGCATGACAATAAACAGAAATAAAAACCATGTTAAGTCTAACCTATTTGCAGCGTTTGCCGTCATAGTTTTCTTTAGCTTTGCCTGCGTTTCCTCTATGCTGGCCATAGCTGTTGGTCGTGCCTTACAGTTTAATACTTTTATTACTTCTATCCGTGGCAGTGGGTCTATTTCTTCCTCATTCATTGGTTGCAAGTTATTTAGGTCTTCATTTGGAAGAGTTGCTTCACTAGAATGGCAAATACTTAGATGCTGTGCATGTTTGATGAGACCGAGAGTGATTTACATAATTATTGTGATACTTGTATTTTACACCTGTGGTATTAAGTATAATTTTGACTTTCTATCTGAGTGAAAACTCATGCTCACTTTCCAAACATAAGAAAATGGGGTGTCATTTTCATGCTGGCCTGCACGGAAGTGTTATATGCAAAGTTGCGTTGCCCTAAGTAGAGATCCCTCTCTTTTGGATCTTTGCATTATTTGGTTAATAACATTGCCTTCAAAGTTTGATCGTACCTCTCTGAAATATAAAATGATACATTTACTCTTATGCTGCCACATTGGTTGTTCTATAATGTTATCGCTAGTGTAAGTCATGAAAGTATATTTGTTTGATTAAAAGAAACAGAAAGGAAATATTTATTAATAATATATTAATCACCTATGGGTGTTATGGGCTCGTAACACACCTGCTACAGCCAGTTATTTTTGATATGGTGGCAACTAAGGTGTGGCAGAATTCTCTGCCTTGGTCTGATACTATAATGCTAGGATAACCAAACCTAGATGATGAAAAGGTACATAGCTTGTATAGATCAAGGATGTGCTGCTGAAGTATTTCATTTAACTATGCAGTATAGAAAGCATACACCATCAGTAAATCTTTCAAGAATATTGCCACGTTTTCAGCCTTGTTATTGGGTAGGGATTTCACTGAAGCATGCTTCGTGAAGTAGCACATGCCGTGATATGATTTTGGCATGTGGGCAAAATCAATTCCAATTTGAAAAGAAAACAACAAAATAGTTTAAGATTTGGAAATCATACCAAAATGTAAGATATGAAAAATAACTTTTCCGTTAACTTTAACGTCCATCTTACTGTAAAGCATTTTGTGACATGTGACACTTCTAGCAATACAAAAAGAGGATACACTGTATATTTGTACTGGTACGCTTTATTGCTTGTTTACACAAACTTGTGTGACTGTACGTATGGTTCAAATCTGTAAAAAAAAAAAAAAAATATATATATATATATATATAAATAAAAGTGAATAAATTAATTAATAAAGAAAAATGCCACACTACATTTGAAATCATACATGTGTCTTGACCCAATCTTTACTCTTGTAAAAACCACAATATGTATGTACCCAAAACCAAATATTAACTCCATATGTATATGTATAAATTTAAAAGTGACAATGACAGTTGAAAATAAAGTACAAGTAAATCAAACTTACAAATCTATGTCCTGTTTTGTATGACTACCTAAATTCTTGCTTCTTGCTTAGATGGTGTCTTTTGTGTAAAAAGAACTGCTCACCCTAAGTGGCATTGCCTATTATTCAGTGGGGGTGTGTGGGCTGTACTAGATAAAGGGGTGTAAGGTGTCTGTCCTTTACACATTTTGATATATTTACCTGATACCACGGTTTGCACTGTTCCACCACTGCTGGCTGAAGTGAGGCAGGGTTCACTCTAAACTTCTTATTTGCCACCTGGCACTGCTATAGGTGGCAGCAGTGTTGACCATGAAGTGGCACTATTAAATTAAAGCAACAAAGTACTTTGAGAACCTATAGTTTATGATAATTTATATTGTATTGGCTTCACTGGTTGATTATTGCATTTATTTCCACTGAATGTTAAACATGCATGATTTTTGCTGGAGAAAATGTGATAAACAAAATTTTATTGCACCCTCAAATTCACACAACAGTTTAGGCAGGCTGAATGATAAAATGGCTGGTAGAGCAGCTTTATTTTCACCAATGAAACTGTTTTATAACATGTCTATTTTTCTATGATTTGAATATCCTGTATCATAAATGTCTGTGATATCTTTTGAAGTAGTTTGGTTTTTCTCTAATTATTTTCTCTTTCACATACTAACTAACAAATGAAATGCATTTATCACTGCTGTTTGCACATTTTGGTCGCATTAATAACCCTGACCATGTAAACTATATATATATATATATATATATATAGTTTATAGTTTATTTTTAATTATGCATATTTTTTTATATTGTAGAAACAGCAGGTTGTGTGTTCAGACATTACCACTACTAGCGGCAAAAGCAGTCAAGGTCAGTTTGAATTTTAATACAAAAATCAATTTACATTATTTATTTTTGTTTTGGACCCATCATGCATGCATAATTGGCCTAAGTTTTTGTTAAAGATAGTTTTCATGTTTTCTCAAAAAAGAAGATAATTGTCTCAAATACCTGATGAAACTGTTTTATTGAATCCTGCCTCCCAATGTACCAGCGAAAAGATATTTCATGTATGGGCTCCTTACTGAAACATGATGGTTTTTGCACTACAAACCAGCAAGTAGATTTCTTTGGGTGCTGCTTTGCATACAACATGGCATTACAGTTTGAGTTGGATTAAAAGAAAAATAATCTGATGTCATTACGACAGGGATCTGTCATCAGGATATTGATAAATCTGAAAATGTTATTCAGTTGTAAGAATAATATAAGAAAAGAAAAAAAAAGAAGCGAGCTGTTTTCAATCACTGGTTAAAAACTTCAGAAAACAAGAATTAGGTTCAGTAGCAAGTGTGTTCAAAGCAACTTACTGACTTAAACTATTTATTATTTAGTAAAAAAAAATAAATAAATTTGGTTCTTTGAATGTAAAGCATTTTCAAAAATTTGATTTTTTTACATCCAGCATTGCCACAAGCGAACTCAGCCTCTGGGACCATAGCAGTGGTATTGATTGTCATCTTCATCATTGTCATTTTAATCATCGGAACAGTGGCCTGGTTGTATTACGCCTACAAGAACCCCACCACACGCTCCGGACAGTGGCTTATCAAAGTAAGGATTTGGAATATTACCCAAATAGTGAATAGTTTTGGAAACTGAAGCAATAATAGATGGACGGAAATGTAATAGTTAACAATAAAGAAATAGAAAATATTAAGAAAGCAATGAAAAATAAAGTGAGATGGAATAGAATAGGAAATATATAATGACATATAAAGGAAAGGAAGTGAAAAAAATATGTGGGATGATAAAAGTTAGTCATTATATATATTTGGCATGTCTTGTAACCAGTGGAAAAAAAGATGGTTATGAAGACAAAGCCATTGTCTTACTCACTGACTCATTTTTGATTTATTTCCTTTTGCTTCAACTTTTGCTTAATTCATTGGAAATCATATCTTTTTGAACATTTTTATATTAAAGAAGCTTGCTATATATTTATATGCCTTCCAAAACCATTTTGTTTCTTTCAGCACCGTCCAAGTGAATGGAAATTTTCCTTCTCTCGAGGAGGCGACAGCAACGCAGACAAGTATCGTGTTGATATGCAGTCAGGACAGAGCACAGCATGATCGTTTCAAGGCCATGCACATGTGCATGCACACTTGTGATAACATAGACCCCCTTACCTCAGGCCTGGCCTATAAACAGAGTTGAGGCGGACGTCTTCACTTAGCAAGAGAAAGGGAAAAAATATAAGTTGTTCATTTCTTTAGGCTCTTTTTTGAATTGTACAGTAGACATTTTTTACAGCTGAATAATTTTCTCTTTACTTTTTTTTTTTTATCTTTTCAATTTTTACAGGATATTAACAGCTGATAACTACTCAGTTGAATTTTTGGACACCTTATCAAATTTTTGCAATTTTTCATTTAAAAAAGGATTAAATATTTATATACTGATAAATAGCAAACAAAGGTCTAAAATAGGGCTGAAGTGTTTATTTTTCAGGCTTATGATAATGGCCACTGCATTTCATGATGTTTATTTGTTTCCAATAGGAACATATAAATCTCTGTAAACTTGGTTTAGGACCTATCTCTAGTTTTTTATTATTATTTAGTTTATGTTGCCAAGTGAAGATCTGTTTTCAGTAAGCTCTAAAGTTTGGTAATTATTCATAAATTTTGAACTACCCAGTAAGTCCAAAAATTTGGATGTAAAATTGATCCTGTTCATATTTTCAGCCCCCTCTTTTTCAGATTAAAACAGTCTATTTTTTGATTCATTCAATGATTCTTGAATTTATGAATAATTACCATGAGTGAATTTATCCAATTTAAAGGTCTTTGAGGAAATCCAGAGGGGATGTCTTTTATATTTTTGTATCTTAATGTATAAAAAAACATATCACAATATACAAGAGCATTAGATTAACAGAAACAGAAGAAATAGTGTCATTATTATAATTATAACCATTTCATTTAAATAATGGAAATCATATGAAAATGAAAAAAAGAGAAGTGGTGGGCAACACCTACTGTTTATATTTCATTTTGGGAAATATGTCGTGAATTATTGGAATACCATTAATTAATATTGTATTTGGATGAACAATCATTTATTTGGAATTGCATTTTAAAGGTTGTGAATTATTTGTAATAAGTAATTTGTTTTATATTAATATCTACTCAAGACATATGCATGTAATGACAGTCCATGGAAGAATCAACAAAATGTTTATGAAGTTGGTCAGTCACTGCAACTGACAGATAGCAATATTCATTACAGCCTGTAGCTATGATAAGAGATCATGGTCCCCATGGTGGGTACAGTAATAACTCCAATGATTTGAACATCTCATTCCACTATTTCCATTTTCAAGATATCTTATTTTCAAATGCCCAAATTTGCTTGCTTTTTTAACCCAACTTTTGAAATTTGTGCTCAAAATTAGGGAGTTTTTACCATAATACATCCCAAACCTCTGCTTGATTTGTGATCTTTTTATAAAACATGAAGTAAGCATGGTTCTGGTTCAGCCCAGGTTACAATTTATGTACAGTTGGAATAGTGAACAATGAAGTTGCCAAAAAATGTGGACAAAAGTTTCTGAATATTAGATGCTGTAAACTTTGTATTGAGCAATAATTACAAAAAACTGCATTTTGGAAGGCGAAACCCCATCTAATGGGCTGAATACAGAATTCCCCAAGTGTAGTAAGTGCTGATTGCAATATATAAAAATGTACACAGCATGCAGTCAAGCAATGGACTTACAGAATGAGATTTTTTTAAATGATTGGTTATTAATAGGGGATTCCATGCATTAAAGGTATCTCTATCAGTAAATGTGATAGTTTTATTTTCACTGTATCTCTGTGTATTTTAAATTATGCCGCGCATTATATGCACTTCTACTTTAATGCATAAAAAATTGTAACACGTAGCAATTCTGTTTTATCATGATTATTAATGATTTGGTTTAATTATTGTTATTGAGATCATCTTAATATTGAATAGTTAATTTAACTTTTATGTCGTCATGTTTTTTCTGACTCCAAGTTTTTAATTCATAATTTTCCCAAAGCTGATGCTGTATTGTTTACTTACTGAGGCATTTATCCGACCATAGCATGTTAGATATTGTGGATTTCTTGGAACTATTTACTGAAGTAATGTCAACAAAAAATGTAATAGTCTAAGAGTTATATTACTGTAACCTCACCCATACTGAACTATTAGACCAGTTACCAAGCTGGGAAGAATGTAACTAGCCCCTACAACCCCTACGCTACAGACGTGCAGTCATGCATACACTCGTGCTCATGTGTGCGCACACACGCCTATTTCATCACATCTGTAAGTTCAGTAGCCAATTAATAGCCTCGTGTGCGCTTGGTAACTGCCCCCCCCCCTTCGAAACCATAGTTGGAATGCAAGAAATCAGTTTGACAGTGGAGAAAATGCATGTGGTATTTTAAGTTATCTCTAATATCTTTACAAACATTAAGAGGATATATTTATTTTTATATTTGTGCTGTTTGTTTCATGGGGAAATATTGCAGTATGTTGATGTTACTTCTTCATTCCCGACAAGCTGTTTTTGTTCGTATGTGCTGTGATTCATTTTGCTTTTAGACTAAATAAATCCCCTACTGAAAACGAAGACTTGTGCGTGGAACATTTTATGATGTGATATAAATGTAATTTTATGTAACAGTCTAAAACGAATAATTCTACCACAGCAGAATAAAATATTGTATGGATTAACAATGTCAAGACTGGTTTGGAGTCATTGTAAATTCAGGTGTTACTTTTGATATTGGAAAACGTGATGCTGCTTACCCATGTATATTGAATATATTTATCGGGTTTGGTAAAAGTAATTATGCTCCTTCTAAAATGATGTGATCATCAGAGAACCTCTACTGATCACTGAAAAGGAGACCCGTAGTTTCACTAAGGATATAATTTATACATTTGTCTATGAAAAGTAAAGACATCTTTCATAAAACACCCGTTATATTGTACACAATATATGGTATTATATTGACACTATAAGCATCAAGGAAGTTTTTTCCTGTAGAATTGGAATCCGAATAAACATAGGAAAGCTATTTTTCGTTCTGGAAAAAGACCGTGTATTTGTAATGCTTGCAGTTAAAACATTCGATATTGCTTATCGCGATACGATTACGAATGTAAGTGAAAAATCGTAACATGCAGCTTGACAGGCGCAATATAATGTTTTTAATCTCTTTCACTCCATAAAATATGACAGTTAATATAAGAAGGTGGCCCACATAAAGCGCTTGCTTCGATACGAGATTTTGTGGACATTCCAGAGAAAAAAAAACGTCTTGAAAAAATCCCAAAATATTTTTCCGACCAATCCAAATATTACAATGAACTAGCAAACATTAAGCATTGAAAAACAAGTGCATTAGAGGTAACCTCGGCATTTAAACAGATAAGATGTGAAATAAATTGCTTTAATTTTTGTGAGATATGCTTGTGTCGTCATTTTTGTCTGTCGCAAAAAGTAGTTTTGTTCAATGGTGAGTAAATTTGTAGTTTTTACAATGAATCCAGCAATATGGCAAAATCGAACAGATCATGCATTTTATGCATGAGTTTTGACACAGTTTGATAAATGGTATTCTGAGCGATTTTGAATAGAAGGATTAAAATCACTGTTTTAATATGAAACCTCTACTATGTAGACTGTATAAGACTTATTCAAAAGTTAAAAAATTCAACTTTATGAATGCAGTATCATAGCCCCTTTTTTAAGGGAATCCAAAATGGCCGCCAAAAGTAAAACGAAAGTACACCCCTTTAAGTTATGACTACCCCTGAAGTGATTACGTTTTATTTTTATCACACGAGGCAAACACAGCTTAAGCATTTCTCTCTGAGGCGACTTCTGCGAGGACCCCGGGCCACGACAGAGGGGTGTACCGAATTTCCCCAGACAATGCTGAGAAGGAACGACATAAATAATCGGAACAAATAGCGGACACTTGAACTATTCGATCAAAGATGTAATAATACGTATCATATAATTGCAGCTTGTTTTATTGTTTATTATTTCATTATGGTAACGGATGTATTTATAATCAACTTGTAGTCACAGTTAGATAATTTAAATGACCACAATTGTTAATCACATACTTGTAAACATCAAGGGGTAAATGACAAGTGTATTGTGACGCCAAAACGTCAAAACAACGTCACATTTGCTTTCACTTTTCATTTTTATGTGGCGATGAGATATCCAGAGAATGTGGACCAATAGTTCCACAAAGTTGGACTCGGTGCATCAACGTAGAAAACTTGTAGGTAAACTTCCTCCCCTTTCTCACACTGAAATATTACAGAATTGGACCCGCTGTTATGGTCGGTAAGACTAACGGCAAGAAGAAGCATCATCTTCCGGTTTCTTGCTGCTGACCAACTTGACCTCGACCTTTCCCCCTTTATATGACGTCAAAATGGTTGCCGTGAAGAAGTAAGTGCCGTTGACAGGACAAGTAAAGCGTCCAGTTGCTGGATCGTATGCATTTCCCGTGTTAAGGATAACGCCAGAAAACGCTAAATTGTCCTTTGCACTAACTGGAAGAGACTTTGTTAGTCGCGTCGAAAATGCAACGACCGGCACATCTGAAGATAAAAAAGCCAGTATCAGAGCCAGGGTCACACAATTTGGTTTGGGGAAATCATGAAAAGGACCACTGTCTGGCGTTNCTGACCAACTTGACCTCGACCTTTCCCCCTTTATATGACGTCAAAATGGTTGCCGTGAAGAAGTAAGTGCCGTTGACAGGACAAGTAAAGCGTCCAGTTGCTGGATCGTATGCATTTCCCGTGTTAAGGATAACGCCAGAAAACGCTAAATTGTCCTTTGCACTAACTGGAAGAGACTTTGTTAGTCGCGTCGAAAATGCAACGACCGGCACATCTGAAGATAAAAAAGCCAGTATCAGAGCTAGGGTCACACAATTTGGTTTAGGGAAATCATGAAAAGGACCACTGTCTGGCGTTTAAAATGTCCTCTATATTACACAAAACACAGGTTTCTTTATGAAGCTATTATAAACCGATAGGATTATCACCAATTATACATAAAAATTCACTAACCCGATTTTCCGCTTGCGTTGCGCATTTGACGGGCTTCAAGCTCCAGTCTCTCCACCCATACACTCATGCTGGTGAGTGAAGCTTCCAACGCCTTGACACGCTTGCTGATTTCGGTAATGTTCGGTGATAAATTTTGTTCGCTCGTTCCATATGCTAGCCACACCAAGTGTATCAGAAAAAGGGTTGAAAACTTTAGTGAAATCATTGTGATGAAGCACTATAGAATGTTTAAACCCTACAATGGTTATCATTCGAATTAACTTAAATCAAACTGTAGCTATAGATAGACTCTGGTGGGTAACGGACTTTGGTAAGAAGTGGACGGGCAGNGTAGCATACGACAAGAAGCAACCACTTTGCATGACCAGCTCTGTAAATATACTCTGTAACATACAATCTCTATCTTTTTGAAGCCGTTACAAAATCGGTTGAAAGACGCCAACAAGTTTTGCAACTGCCACAACAGCTTCTGTAGAAATGTTAAGACTTTTAATAAAAATACACTACATGTTCTTTTAGTTATGATGTTATGTGGCGGTATGTATCCATTAAAAAAGCCATCTATACTTGATAGTGCCCGGGCTAAAATGCATTGATTTCAGACATTGATCGCCCAACACAAATATATAATAAACCGCATTACCAAACAATTACTACAAGTGGGTCTATAATTCGTGGGGGTCCATGTACGGCTGTGTACAGAGCCCTACGTGAATTTATTTATTGTTGTTACTAATCGCTATGTACGTTAAAGTTATACTAACATCATCATTCATTTCATTTCATTTGAGGATTAACTTTTCAAACCTCGATTTCTATTCCCTGGGAATGACAGACTAGTCATGGACGAGGGGGGGGGGGGGGGGGGGGAGGGGGGGAAAAGGGGGGGGGGGGGGGGGGGGGGGGGGCAAGGATGGAAAATGTCGGGCGAAGCGAAGGAAGGTTTTTTTCATATTAAATATGTATCGCACAGCTAGCTAGGGAAGGGAAATATGTGGGTTTGCCTCATTTCGGTAATCATACATTAAATTTATTATTATTATCATTATTATTACCTTTTTGCTTTTTTATTTTTTTATTATTTATTTATTTATTTATTTATTATTTTTTTTTTTTGAGAGGGGGAGGTGGTAGGGGTCGGTAGGGAGTAGACTTGTCACCTCGGAAGCTGAGTGCCTGCTGTACCCTCCCTGGAACCGTCTTTGGCCAGAGGTAAGAGTAGGTTTATCGTGATCGATAACAGCTGTTTGAGGTAAACAGTCCCTGGGAGACAGACAGCACATTATGTGGGGAGTCTGCACAGTTGGGTGCATTGTAAGGTACAGGATGACACAGAAAAAAAACGGTCATCACCTAATATCACCTTGAATAACTTTTAAAATAAATTATCAATTCCTTTTATTTTTCAGATTTATCAAGACAAATTAATGTTCTAAGAGTCTACCAAATTCGACCTTCGAGATGCCATGGACTACTGAGGAAAAGACATTTATAGTTGAGGCATATTTTCGGTTATAGTCTATCCACGCAGCTCAATTGCAATTCAAAGAACGGTTCAGATGTCGAGAATTTCCTGTCCACTCAATGATCTACAGATGGGTCAACAAGTTCAGAACCCATGAGACTGTGCATAACCTCAATTGTAAAGACACTCACAATCACACTCTGGACGACCGAAATCATCAAGGACACCACACAACATTGCTGCAGTCAGAGACTCTGTTGTCCGCAGCCCAAGCAACTATAAATGTCTTTTCCTAAGTAGTCCATGGCATCTCGAAGGTCGAATTTGGTAGACTCTTAGAACATTAATTTTTCTTGATAAATCTGAAAAATAAAAGGAATTGAATATTTATTTCAAAGGTTATTCAAGTTTAGATGAAGACCGTTTTTTTTTTTTTTTTTTTTTTTTTTTTGTGTCACCCTGTATATACAGAATTTGTGTTTAAACGTCATGTAATAAACCATGGGAAGTAGAATCTCCAAGCAATATCTATGTTGAGTGGGCGAAAACCAAGACGAAAACGAGTAGACGAAGAAAGCCGCCTGGCTATAATAATAATAATAATAATAATAATAATCTTTTATTGAAACATCGCAACCCGAAGGTTGAAGTTATACACTTTTTTAATCTATTTATTATTATTATTATTATTATTATTATTATTATGTATTTTAAGTCAGAGATCCCTGGTCATTTTTTTGGCCCTGTTGCACACTATATTCGTTCTCGCCTTCCTGGGGAGGGTACAGCAGGGCTGCCATATTAGGCGCTCAAAGCTAACAAACTAACAACCATTTTTCCACTGCCAGACCAGACCCCTGCTTCAACCCCTTAGTGCTAAGTGCCAAGCGGGGGGACAGCAGGTACCGTTTATAAAGGACTGGTATGTCCCCGGACGGGGTTGAACCCACGTCCTCCCGCTCCGGAGGCGGACACTCTAACCACATCATTTTCTGTATTCCTTTCGATTTTCCATGCGTAAAAATATCAAGACTCCCCTTCTCGTACATATAGGCCTGTATAACTATTCGGCTTGGTCTCGCCTAAACGTACCCCTCTCAGCGAATTATAGAGAAATCAGTTGAGTAAAGAAATAGATAACAGCGATCCTGATATCTTGTGGTTAGATCAGTACATCTAGAGAAAAAAGCAATCCTAAAAGACACCCTGGTCTCATTTGGCCCTTGAATGTTTGGTATGGATGCAGTGTCTTAGCCCCTTCTTTTGATATAAGGGAATCCAAAATGGCCGCCAAAAGTAAAACAAAAGTCCACCCCTTCAACTTATGAAGTAATGCTTTTTAGTATTATTACATGCAGTATACGCGGTTTAGATACATTGCATTTTCCTCTGAGTTGACTTAAGGCCTCGTCGGGGAGACCTTTTGGTGCCCTCTGCGGGGATCCCGGGGTTACCGAATTTACCTAGTCAATGTTGAGGAATATTCAGAACAAATGGCGGTTCCTTGAACACAATCCAAAAGCAGTTGAAACAGTTCGTTTCAAATAATTTCAATTTGTTTTATTGTACGATTAATACCCGCATGCTAACGGGTGTAATGACCATTCGTGTAAATTAAATAACAATCAAGGAGTAAATGACAAGTTTACTGTGATGTCAAAATTTCAAAATTATGTCACATTCGCTTTCTCTTTCGTTTTATATGGCGATGAGATATCCAGAGAATGTGGACCAATAGTTCCACAAAGTTGGACTCGGCGCACCAGCGAGATGAACTTTTAGGTAAACTTCCTCCCCTTTAACACAGTGAATGATAACCGAATTGGACCCGCTGTTATGATCGGTATGGCTGGTAGCAAGGAGAAGCATCAGAGCATTTCCTGGTTTCTTGCTGCTGACCAACTTGACCTCTACTCTTCCCCCGTTGGATGACGTCAGAATGGTTGCCGTGAAAAAGTAAGTGCCGTTAACAGGACAAGTAAAGCGTCCAGTTGCTGGATCGTATGCATTTCCAGTGTTAAGGATAACGCCAGAAAACGCTAAATTGTCCTTTGCACTAACTGGAAGAGACTTGGTTAGTTGTGTCGAAAATGCAATGACCGGCACATCTGAAAAAAAGAAAAGAGCCAGTAGGCGTGTAAAAAGGGTCATCCAATGCTATAGTCATAAAACAGAACTGTTGACTGGCGATATAAGTTCCTTGTGTAATACGCAAAATACGTGCACATTTTGTTGCGTTTTAATCAAAATACAAATAAAATATTTATAAAGATATTTTATACATAAAGATCCCGACAAGCGTATCACCAATATACAAGAAAAAACCACAAACTCGATTTTCCGCTTGCGTTGCCTATTTGTCGGGTCTCAACCTCCAGTCCCTCAACCCAGAGGGCCAGGCTGGTATAGGAAGCTTCCAACGCCTTGACACGGTCCGTGATTTCGGTAAATGTAGGTGAGACATTTACATCGCACGTTACAAAGGCTAGCCACGCTACCTGTACCAGAATAAGTGCGGAGAACTTTAATGAAGTCATATTTGGATAAAGCACTGTATCAGGCCTACGTCTTAACCCTGCAATGGTTATCATCCGAATGAACTCGGATCAGTGTAGCTATAGCTAGACGCTGGTGGACCACGGACTTTGCCTAGAAGTGGGCGGGGCTGGGTACAAGGATAAGGGATTTCAGCAAAATTAAATATGTAGGGCACAGTTAGGGATTGGGAATGTTTGGGTTTACCTATTTTCGTTCGTTATAATATATATATATATATATATATATATATATATATATCCCTTCAATTGTTAATCATTGACTGATAATAGTTTATATCACTAAGATATGTTGTCCTTATTCGCGTAGACAATATTATTATTATTATTATTATTATTAGCCCTCTCTACCCCCTCCCGACCCCGACCCCATCAAAACAAACACACACATATATATATATATATATATATATATATATATATATATATATATATATATATATATATTTGTTTACTATTTGTTTACTATTGTGTAAACTATTATCAGTCAATGATTTAAAACAATTGAAGGGAGTTACTTACGCCAGCATTGTGCTACAAGTAAGCTACCTAACTATCTCTTGCGTACTTGATGACCTCTGGCCGTTATTGGCGCTAGCGGCATCTTGAAACCGCAGCATGCATTTTAATTCATTATTGATATATTTATTAAAATGTTCTGGCCATAAGGCAGAAATCGCAATCATTTGTATTCTAGGCTTCAAACGAAATATTATCCCTTTCCACTACAGCCTCTTCACTGTTTTAACATTGGAAGTCTAGATTTTAGTCTTTTACTCTACTGCATGGTTAATGCTTGGTCTACAGTAGTTAACATATTGAAATGGGCGAATGCCACCATGCACTGAGATTATAACTTATTGCTGTGGTTATCCCAGTTTGCTCTTAAGACGCACTACAAAGACTGACGGGAACAGGAAAGCATCAATTAGGCTATTGGTCGAAATATATGAGTAACTTATATAGCCGAGTAAATATTTATATGTCTTTGCTAAGACTTACAATTTTATGCTAGTTTGGAGCACACCACAGGATGTAGGATGGAGGGGGGGGGGGATGTACCGGTACCTACGCACCGTATGTTTGGGACGTAAGTAAAAAGATATTTAAACAGAATTGAACAAACGCTGTTTTATTTCAAAACATATTAAAATCTTTATTTTTTAAAATAAATACGCATCTTGCAGAATATAAGAATAATTATATATTATATATTATATATCTTAAGCATACATCTTTGGTAAATATGCCGGTGTGACAGGCATGGTAGTCCGCTAAGCACCTTAATCTGTTTCCCATGACCGCGATATGTCCTGCTAATCCTAACCTGCACTAATCCAATGGGACCAAGGAGTACTATTCTAAAGGCACCATTCCTGTCATACCGGCATATAAGATGTTCACAACTAACTACACTGTACATCGCCCGCGAGAGGTTGTCACAGTTATTTGATGCAGAAATTTTCTATGTGAAAGTTAATTTGAAAGTTGGAACATAAATTAATAGGCAGTCAGGTTGTGCAACCAAAGTTGGCCATTGTGCAGTCTGGCACCAAAGAGAAATGATTATAGTCACCGGTGTTAGTATATTTCTACTCCCCCCCCCCCCCCAGCAAGTTAAAAAGATCAACAATCACTTCACAGTGGTTGACCGAACTTCCCGAAATTTGGAGTTTAACCAAGGAACATGCAGATCCTTTCTTATTTAACACTTTCTTTGGTGCCAGTGTGAGTTACAGTTTTAGTAACTAAGTTCTGGGAATGTCCATGTACAGAGTTTCCACGTGTGCAATTTGTGCGTATTTTTTGGCACATAGGAAGGTTTTTTTTTAAATTCTAGCGTTACATTAGTCGTACTGGTGGTATCTTAGTATGGGGTATTACGGGTTTTTTTTTCCAATATTAATGTAGATGAACACATTCATAATTATTAAAATGCAAATATCTATTATCATAGTCAGTAGCTTCTGTCTGATACACATTAATGTAACCTTAATTGATAAGATGTCATCAATACACGTTTATATAGCTACCACGCTATCTCGTACTGTATACAGATGATTAAGCACGTCAATGAGCTTTCAAATAAATTAATGTAAGGGGCAAGTAAGGCAGCATTTCGGTGATTTACTTTTACAGAAGCATTATTCATAAAGTTTTCTATATCATTTTTACCTTTGTTAATACAAGACATAATATGGTTTTTTATAGCCTACATGCATATTTACAATAAAAAGATGATATTGCACTGTGATCAAATAAGTCTGCAGTATCGGTAAAAAACGAGGATATATAAGCCCGATTCCCCCTCTTTTCTGTGTCCAGTCACATCAGTTTAATGTCTAGAATTCCCATGTGAGGAAATGTTCTCTTTTTTTTTCTAAACCAAACCTGTGAAGGGAAGGTATCTTTCCATCTTCTTTGCGACTTTCAACTCTCTCCTCAGTATTACAACTGCCCTGACTGCCACAGTTAAGGGTACGGTTAACGTTCTAATTCGTGGTTAGTGAACTGTTGGGTACTAAGAAGCACGGCATACATATATATGGCATGTTACAATGAGTGCATTATAGTAGATGTTCTTATGCAAAGACTTCGTTGATGAAATGCTTCATGAGCTATAATGAGCCCAGTTCGAATGCCAAGTTCATGACTGTTTCAAAAGTGCCGCCAAATCCTGCCGGCCAATTTGTCCAAACACCTTCTGCAAGGTTGAAGCCTGGAATATATACGGAAATGAATAACGGTACATTTTGCATAAATATGATAATCTGTAATATCAAAAAACTCCGTGAAAACCGAATCACGTACAATATTCCCGTCAGTGAAACTACACGCTTTGCTCATACCAAAAATTAGATCAACATTAAGTTCGTGTGCTTCTGGACTATGTTTCTTGCATGACAACGCCACAGGGATGCCACAAACACTATTGCGTTAAGACATATTACATTCTGTCAAGCAAAATAGCATTAACAACTAATGAATGATTTAAATATATTTTATTTATAAAATGGGACATTTTCTTTCCTTTTTTCCATGCTCCCGATATAGGCCTACTACATGTAGTAGGCTACTGTTCTTGTACATAATAGTCCTATCTCTGTTACAAAGAGAGTCGCATTGACGTTCCACGTAAACGGGTAATTAATGAAAAAAAAAAGAAATAATAAAAGCAGCGTGATAAATATTAAGATTCTTCAGTACAAGGAATAATCGCACAGCCTTACCTTGTCAGCGGATATAGGCACAGACTGGGACCACTTCCGCAGTACTGCGCATGCGTTGGTGGTGTCATCGTCCGAATTATTGGTAAATATCTGAGGGGAGAGACCTATATGTTTGGCTAAAGATTCCCAGTCTTTTCCAAGCATGGGCGCCAATTTTACAAGAAGGCTGTCGTTTATTGGATCTGAAAAAGTAGGATTGAGGTACAAGTAAGTAGTTGGATGTATTCTATGTTACTTTTTAATGATGAAGTTATATTGTACTGTACACCGATTGTATTGAAACATGTTTTGTACAATTCTCTGTTCAGGAGCGGATCCAGGATTATTTATCTTCTATTATTTATCACTCGGGGGGGGGGGGGGGGGGTTTGAATGACAGCACTCGGATGCGAAGCCGTTTGTCACCCCATGGTGAAGAGTTTTTGGTGTTTTGGAGGGCAAACAAACGGTGCCCTTTGGTACGGTTTTGAGCTTTAATTCAGTTAGTCAAAATTCTTATTTCAACAGGGCAATATTGCCATGATATTTTTTCAGAAATCGAAGGGGGGGGGGGGGGGGCAGGATCCCCTGGCACCCCCTCTAAATCCTCCTCTGCTGTTCACATACGCACTTTCGGACCGGAGCCGCATTTTAGATTATTGCTCGGAGCAAATTATCTCTAGCAAATTATGCTTACCTCCATCATTTGGTGAGAGCCCCTTTCCCTTAAAGTAGAAAAATAATAAGTTCGTTTTTTTTAAACCAATATAAAATTTTTGTTATAATTCTAATGACACTGTGTACTTATACAATCATTATTTTTGAGCTACGTGTGTGTGTCACTTCTTAATACCATCCATGCACACTGAGAGAAAGGTATACTCTGTATAAATTCACTTACTTCTGTGTCATTTTTCACGCGTTGCACACGAAACCAGGCGTATTCACTGAAACAAAAAGCAAAAGATTTTCAACCTGCTTGTGCCTTACCTTAACGGGGAACCATATAATTTATTATGCCACGTCTTAACATCCGAAAATATCACCACGAAATACCGTATATCACATTAATCGTTTGGTTGCTATGATTTTCATAACACTAATTCACTTTAGATTATTATAGAGGGGGTATAAAGCCTGTGCACAATGCCGATGTTCAAAAGCTTGGCTTAGTACGCCAACATAAGTATTAACTACATGGAGTAACTTAAACAAAATAATATATGTAAGTACCGGGTAATTGACGTAACCCAAGCGCAATCTTACCCTACGTCTGGCAGGCGTAGCACGAAATTAAGCACTTTTCTCTCTTTGTTCACCCGGTACGCCATTCCCGAGTACTGCCAACCAAGACGGCCATATTTTGTGAAAACTTGAACCTCTTCTTCATCTGAAATACCGAATCGCCTTTATTATACAAATAGATTCGATACTTAAAAAGATACAGTTCTAAGTGTTTTGTAGGTCTACGTGGCAGAGGTTAGACAAATGGTCTACGGGTAAAATCACAAGCACAAAAATAAAAGTTAACATTAATAAGTCTAACGGAATGAAGGAACAGCGCCAACAACAGCTTCTATCTTCTATCTTATCTTTATAAATAAATAAATAAATAAATAAATAAATAAATACCCTTACCCTTAATGGCATCTGTGAATATCGGCAGCTGGATGTTGACCACCTTGAAGCCCTTACAACTGACGGAGAAATTGACCGTGTCACTTAGCATGCTGGTATTAGCTTTCTGTCGGTCACTTAGGGGCAGAACCTATCGGAAAATTAAAAGAAATCTCGTGATGTAACGTCAAAATATACGAGATTACCCGTGAATGTACATCTGGTGATTGCACTATATACATGCATTGTCAATGTCTGGGACTTATGGATTTAAGAGTTTTACATTTTCATGTAAAAAACGACAAGATTGATTTTGCAGAATTTCTTTTGAATTATGAAATGCCCACAGGGTGTCATTTCCCGTAACATTCAGTTAGGATACCAGTGGCCAGTATGGTGTTTCACTGAACAACTTTGTTAGACGTTGATCAAAATATAGGAAACCTATATTAACCTTTAATATTTAAAAAGAATGTATGATTCTGAAAAATATTGCTTGTGCGAACATGCCCATGTCCGGCTAGTCAAATTTTGCCCATTAAAACAAATCTTAGTAATACGCTTGGTATGTACAATTCACTAATCACATAATACTTAGTGATCACAGAACTCGTACTGTTGTACATAAAATGAGACTCCTATACCTTGAAATGTCAAATCCAATATAAAATTAGCATGAGTCACAAGACAATAATTATCTAATCATATCTAAAAACTTAAAAACAGTACCTAGTGTTCTAATTGTACTAACTGCACCAAGCTCCTACACAGTAATCATTCCTTGGCGGAGGTAAATAGTCCAAGGTTGAACTCAATGTTTCGACCATTCACCTTTAGCGAATTTTGACCCCAAAAGGAAGTGAATGTTTTGTCTCATAAGGCATAATTAAGTGTAGGAGTCTGGTTTACTACTCAACAAGGCACATGGCCGGAACATCTATAATTACTACATTGTACTGAAACATCTACTTTGTAACTTCTAAGAACTAACAAACGTGTAATCATATGTTAAATAAAATATAATACTAACTTTATATCAAATGGAATCAATTTACATGTGTAACACTCAAAACTGCATTAATAAATTGATACTGAGCACAGAAAAGTGGGGATTACGTGCATGGTAATTCAACACTATTATTATTATTATTATTGTAAGCACTCTGTGTATAAGCGTAGGTAGAGTCTCGTCAACACCGCATATGCCAGTAAGAAAGCCACACGTAACAAGAACAAATGCTATAGACAAGCACAAGCTAAACAAATATAGTAAATCCTAAAGCAGAACGTTCTACAATAACATCAATTGTATACGATTTTTTTAAAAGATGGACGTTATAGCTTTGCCAAGAAAAAAAAAGCGAGAGGATTCATTTGCAGCTAAAAACCAACTATGGTCATATTACCTGTATGGATACGTTTGCAGTCTCTAAAAATGTTTTTCTTTCAAATAATATGTACAGTCCCTTTTTATCACTGGGATAGGTTAGATGTTCAGAGAGAGGCACAGCCTAGTGAGAAGAAAGACATGGAAATCACAGAAAAACATAATTAAAATAAATAGGGCTTGATTTTAAGCATGCATTGATCGCACACAAAATTAAGTAATAACAATCATATAAAACGTCTACAGTGATTAAATTTAACATAAAACATGCATTTCTGTAACTGCTTTCACCTTGGATTATATCTCAGTTTAAATCTGAACTAAATCATGCATATGCATGCGACATCATAAAAACAATAAGACAAACACATCTAACATGAATGTCAAATGACTGAAATTCAAATTATTTAAGCATCTGTTGCAATAATTACTTAAAATAAGCAGCAAATAACAAAATAGATAACGCAAATAACGAGTCTCCGCCTTTCGATGTACGTCGACACAAATCGCAACTGCAATCCAAACACTTATTAGGTTTTACATCCAAGTTTCACATATTCTTTTATTTATTATTTTTTAGTCCAAATTTAGCAAGTGGTAAGAATTTTCAATCATAACCTGGATCATGATCAGGGGCGGATCCGTGACTTTTTAAAGGGGGTCCAGTTTTTAGGAATAGCAGGCTTCAAATGCGAAGCCGACCCTTGACTCCCCTTCTCCCCTTTGCGTTGGTTTTGGGGCCCGCTCAAGGACTCCGAAAAAGTTTTGGTGTTTTGGAGGGCAAACGGTGCCATTTGGTACGGTTTAGAACTATGATTCAACCAGTCAAAATTCTAATTTCAAGAATCAGAAGGGGAGAGGGCCTCCCTGCCCCCCCCCCCCCTTAATCCGACGGCCCTTTCTCACTCCAGCTCAAAGGAACAAGCGTAATTGGTAAGTTGTTCTGAAATGATTTCATGATTTCATGAAAGTATTTCCATACCTGGAAAGGTAGGCCTGCTGCCTATGTACATGTACATTGTAACAAATCGTATTTGTGAGGTGTGCTTTAAGCCACATCCTTTGGAAATACACTTCCCCTAGCTGTCTCTAATTACATATAACAAAAGTTGGACAACTCATACCTGAAGTGACACATCGCTCGTCTCAGAAAACGTCTTCTGCTCAAATGTCATTATGAAGTCCTTTTCATCTGTTGGGGTAACAACTCCCCCTGCTGGTGAAATCTTAAAGCTTTGCCTGTCGTATAAATGTACCGCAGCAAAACGGTTAGGGATGCCATTAAAGACTCCATATATGCACTGGAACGGCTGGAGATAAAGAAAACCAAATTAAGGTATTTGGCGTCCATTTTTCAGAGTGTTCCCACAAAAAGACGTGGCTACACCGACAGCAACCTACTATTTTCTTGATCTTAAAGGGGTGTATTGACTAATATGCTTTTTTCTTAATACCTTCACCTGTGCATAATTAGAGAATAAATGAGATTGTTATAATATTAAGTTTCAAAATAGCCCTGTGAACATTGTGGTAAAAATCTAATATGGAACATCAATTGAAGTCAAAGTATCTTTGAAAGTAGAGTATTTGAACAAATAAATGAATAAATATATTTGGGATAATTCTTTTTACCTTGTCATCAATTTTGACTTTAGAAATCTTGTGCGGAGTCGTTTCCCAGAATTCCCCGGATTCGTCATAGGACGCTCGCAGTGACACACCGGAAGAAGTCAACTTTGTTTTTCCTAATATCGGTATTCCGAGAAACAACTTCTCCTGGAACACAAAAAATCGGGTTACTTCATGGAGCCGTCTACTTATATTTAAAAAAAAGATATTATAAGGTCACCGGGATTAATCTAGACAGCTCAAACGGTTGCCTCGAATGACAGAATGTGCAGTATACAACAATAAACTTCATGTATTACCTCGTAGTCAAAATCCTCTGCTCTTTTTAAGGCGATCACCTGACCTATGACCCCTTTCACGTCACTACAGCCTGCTCTTCCAATGATAATGGCGGGGTCTTCTTCCTCTACCGTGACGTCATTTTCGTCAAATAATCCAGGTATTGCCTTAGCAAACGCTAGGAATTCGTTCTGTCTATTCCGCAAACTAAAAGAAAAATTAAGATACATCTAAGCATAAAAAACTTTTTGCTACTGCACCTGTTTACACGATTTATTTTATACCATTTCAAGTGACAGTGTGCTTGCAACGCAAGTGTGAAGCAGAGATCAAATAGCCCATTTTTGTTACTATCTTTCGTGCAACAGATGCTATAAATATAAAAAAATCGGTTTACCCTTCCTGGGCTCCAACAAAACCCACTGATACATGCATGTTGCATACACTGTACCTGATAAGTGTCCATGCTTCTGGACGGTTTCGGTATTTTGTTAGCGCCTCATATTTCTTCTCAACCCGAGTGATCAGTTCGCCTTTTATTTGGTCACTTTGAACGCCCTCGACGCTGAGTCTTCGCAGCTCCCCCTGGATCATCTTCCGCATGTTGGTTTTAATGCCAGCAATCGTTTGTCTGGTCTGGGCTATGACGTTTTGTGCCTTGGCGAGCTGGTCGCGCAACTTCGTGTTTTCCCGCTTTCGGATTTCTATCTCGTTTCTTGTGTCTTGCAGTTCGGCTTCCAGCGTTTGGACGCAACAGTTGAAGCTCTTCTCCATCTACGAAGAAAAAAATTAACTCAATTAAAATAAAATAGCAAAATTAAAAAACCGTCATATCATGCTATGAACTGAAGAAAAACAATTTTTGACAAATAGTTTGTATATATAATAACAAGCTTAAGGGAATGCTGTCATTTTTTTTTTTTTGAGGCATATTAAAGAAATAAAAGAAATAACATTGTTACCAGATAAGCCAGGTCCAAAGCGGCAGTGACCGACTTGTCGTATTTTCCTCGCTTTCCGTTGTTACCGTGGTATTTTGCAACAAGGAATGATTTCCCAAGAGTGCTTTTGACGTCAACGGCTTTTTTATTTCCCGCTTTAACCGGTTTCTCAGGCTGTAATGAGTTCAAGGCACCAGAGTTTGTACCATCTTGCTGCACGGTGGCCTCTGGTGGGGCTTCTGATTTTGGAGCGTCATTCTGTTCATAGTCTGAGATAACAATAGCTGGGGGCGCTGGATGAACCTTGCTCTTAATGCTTAAGGTACCTAGGATATGGGTAATATGACATTGTATAAAAGTTAACATACGCCAGAACTGTCAAAGGATCAAGGAATGAGAAAATTATGTAATGCCTGTCTGATATAATACGTTCGATCGAGAGAGAGAGAGAGAGAAAGAGAAAGGCAGAAGAAGAACATAAACGGCAAACACTCAATGAAAAATCAATGTTTTTACTTTCAAAAGTGACGGCCTTTTTCTCTTGCTCCTCTTTCTTTCCAAACATGTCTCGCAGTTTCTCGTTGAGATGCTCGTTCAATTCCCTGTCAAACATGTCTGAATTGTCATCTTCTTTCGCCTCGGTGACAGTATCGTTGATGATTGATATGAACAAATTCAGTAAAATGAAATTCATGCTCGACGTAAATGCCAAAAACACCAGCACAATGATGAAAGAATCGTCTTCCTTAACGTCATCGTACTTTACAAGTCCAATCATGACGCCGAATAAGTTATAGATAGCGTGCGGGACGTCCCTGAAAACCCACATGTAGTCCCCGCTCATAAAGTTCAGCGATACTGCAAAACTATATAAGAGGAGGATGAAGATGACCATATAGAGGAGGACGCGCGTAAAACTCTTGACCAGGGCATATTTCAGGACAGCTAGCTGTTCGACAAAGGCCATGGGCTTGAAAAGTTGCATCAAGACAAGGAAAGTATCCGTTGCAATGCAGGCCGTATAAGCCTCGTCCCAGAAAGTGACGCGGTCAAATGGAACAAATTTTCCTAAAAAAAATAAAGATGAAATTTACAAAATGTATAAATTTATCATTGTAATATTATATTTTAAACAGGCGATTCCTATTTAAGTAAAATGACACAAAAGTTGTCTAATTAAGCCACAGTTGTTTTCCAGGTAATACATGGTATTATTAGCCAATTTTTCGAGTCCATAACATTTAAATATCCATTTGGCCAAAATATTAAATGTACATAATGTACAACTGCTACAAAAACCGTACCTATATTATTTTTCACTTCCTCCACAACCTGAATCAATCGGAATGTCCGCAGTATAAAAAATGCCATGCTGGCGAACGCAAAAAGGCAGTCGAAAAATTCCAGCAAGAACCACATGTCTTTGAAACACTTTCCTTTCGTTTTCACCGCCCGTATCATGGCTGCAATGAAGAAATAGATGACGAATATTGCCCATATCACTTGAATGACCAGCAAAATGAAATCAAAAGCCTCAACGTACGGATATGGTCTAAAACTGGTCTCCTTGTGTGTGAAGAATATTCCCCCAGTGACGGGAAACTCGACTATCAACCGCACCATGGTGAACACATTAACAAACGCATTGTTGATGGTAAACTCCACGAAGACAGCACGCGTGTATTTATCTAGCCAATTGTTCTGCTTCAGTTGGTTGAACACTGTTATTGCCTCCGAATCTGAGTTGACATCAACCAAATATCCACTCGGTTGGTAACTCCCAAACATGCCCGTCTGATAGTAGTCGTTGGGGGTGTTCTGTACCTTGTAGTCAAACCCGACCGGAACTACGTCACCAATTGTGGTGTTCACTTCTGCCCAGGCTAAAACAGTCAGTTACATTAAGCATCATTTTAAGAATAACAAGGCACAAAAGAAAAAAAAAACGCATTGATGATTGTAATTTTGGTATATTTGTAAAAATAATTATATGCAGATCCACATGTCAATGAAATAAGATATTTTGTTAAAGCATGCCAACTTCTTTCTTTTTATTGAACTAAGCGCACATGTATAATCTTAAAATAACCCAAAGCAGCATAATCAAAACAGTTTTCTGTATTTTCTTCTTAGCAGCTAAGGCACAGTTCACTTCAAAATGACAAGTAGTGGAAACATACCTTCTGTGAAGTTACTAGTTGGTGACTGTTCTGAATACCAGGGTGCACTGCAGGCGGTTGTAAGGTTATCCATAGGGGGCACCACATTACATGTCCCTGTTGGTGGAATAAAAAACATATCAGTCAGATTATTCCTCAGTTGTGTTAATCACTCAGGCACATGTATTTTAATGGAGACATAAACCTAGAAGAATATTGCTCTGGTTTTCGCTCTTGACTGAAGACACTATGATTGTCGCAAAATGGCAGTTGCAGTTGCATATGCATGATGAAGAATTTCTGTAAATCAGAAAACGTCTCCTTGTACAATTTCATGATACAAAATGTACGAGATCATGTTATTTGTTTGATTCTAACTTGTTGTTGACGAGAAATTAAACTCAATAGAATATGAGACCGTCCTCTCTAGCCTTTAATTACAACGTCTTCCTGAGTAATCTTGTTCTGATAATTTAAAAAGGTTAGCAAATTTTGATCACATGTTCCTTAGCACGTTCCTTTTTACACGACGATATATTCTTACAGTAGTGCTTTCAAACTTACAAATGCTTTCTAAGTTATAAATGCAATAGTGCCTTTTGACTTATAAATGTTTTCTAACTTATAAATGCAGTAAGACGTGCTTTTTAACTCACATATGCGCCTACGAGTCATAAATCAAGAACTTACGTTTATTTGCTCTAACTTGGCGCACGCGCAAAGGTCCCAGACGTAGTCCACATAGAATGCTGATGAACTGAAGGTCGTACGTGGACAGGGCGTCACTGTTGTACTCAGTCGTCGGGAAAACCTCGGGGACAATGGTGTCCGTCAACCACGGCCAAAGGTCATCGAGTTTACCAAACTGAAAAAAAAAATACGGTGAGCCTTTCATAGTCAATGATCGGCAAAGAATGTTATGTGGTACATTATAAAATGCTAACTAGAGCATTTACGTTTGTTTTTCAAAGTCTGCTACACTGATTTTACATACTTGTTTCAATGACCTGCTTTGTGTGAGACCACTGCCGTCTCGTAATGTGACGTGGTATCATGAAAATAGTGATGAGCACGTACATACATGTCGTGGCCCTCAGTTAAAAGCTACCCTAATTTGATTAAATCAGTGTCTATCCACCATATATGGCGTCCATGTATGCACTATTTCAACAACCCTTCGTTTTTCAGAATCGATCCATTATTTTGCGTTTTGTAATGTTGACTTTACTTAAAATCTTCAAGGGAGGTAGGAGCTTGCAAGAAGCGATTTTGCAACAAATGTTAAGTTTTTATTAACACCTATTCATATATGCATAGACGGTTACCGATGTGTCCTCCAAGGACAATCCTTTTACTAGTGCTTCGTTCTGTAAGAAGAAGTTGTCGTCCCTATTGCTGAACGCGATGATCAGCAGTAAACAAAGATGGACGAGGTGAACAAAGATGCTTTTGAAGTTGGACATCATCTTCTCTTCTAGCTTTATTTTCTTCTGTCTTATTTCCACGTCGTCTGGGGCGTCATCTGGAGACTCCAGATTACGTGGGACAATGATCGTCACTGAAAATCAATGATCAAAATAAATTATTCTTTCCATATTGAGATTTACTAGTATATTTGTTAGCAAAACTAGACATTGGTCGACCCAAGAATAAACTTCACCTTTAGAGGTATACTTATGTCATTAACAGCATGAATAAGAGGTAGTTGAGTCGTAGAAGAATGTAAAAAGGACATAAAATGACAACAAAATCCTGTATAACTCGCCACTATATAATGACGTCATACCGGGAACAGGGAGAGGCGTTGACCTCAACACTGTGACGTCATCCATGTTTACGTCATCTTCATCCTCTACAGCTGGTAACTTCATAAAGCAGGAAAACACCACGGCCATCAGCACAACCTGAAATATTAATATTATGATTTGGCATTCCGATATGAAACTTCGTAAAGTAGACATTTTAAATCCAATATATATATATATATATATATATATATATATATATATATATATATATATATAT